ATTTAAAATCAGCTACTTAAGTCTAAAATCCAAAATCGGTCACTAGAGGCCAAATACAAAATCTGCCACTAAAATTCAAAAGCCTAGATCGGCCTCTAGAGTCTTAAATCCAAAATCGGCCACTAGTAGCTAAAATCCAAATCGGCCACTAGAATTCAAAACCCTTGATAGGCCACTAGTGGCCAAAATTCAAAATCGGCCACTAGTGTCCAGACTCCACTGTCCAAAATTGAAAATCGGCCACTAGCGTCCAAAATCCAAACTCAGCGAAATTCAGAGTCGGCCACCAGTGTCCAACATTCAAAATTGGCCACTAGCATTCAAATTAAAAAATCGAACATAACGGCCCAAAATCCAAATTCGAAATAGACCACTAGAGTTCAAAAATTCCAGAATCGGCAAGTAGTGGCATAAATTCAAATCGGCCACTTGTGTCCGAAATTAAAAATCGGCCATAAGAGTCCAAAACTTAAAATCGACCACTAATGTCCAAAATAAAAAATCGGCCACAAGTGTCCAAAATTCAAAGACAGCCACAAATGGCTAAAATTCAAATCGGCCTCTAGTGCCCAAAATTAAAAATCGGCCTTTAGAGTCCAAAGCTTAAAATCGGCAATAGCGTCCGAAATCCAAAATCGGTCACTAGCGTCCAAAATTCAAAACCGTCACTAGTGGCGAAAATCCTAAATCGGCCACTTGTGGTCAAAATTAAAAATCGGCCATTAGTGTTTAAAATTTAAAATCGGCCTCTAGAGTCCAAAACCTAAAATCGGCCACCAGTGTCCAAATCCAAAATCGGAGACAAGGGACCGAAATTTAAAATTTAAATTTAGTATCTTAATTAATCATGAAAACTTAGAGGAAAAATTTTGTGAAGAGAGATCATTTTACCGTTTGGATCATCATAGTTTAATCATCATTAGAGCCTCCGAGAGGGAGAAACAGTGAGGTTCTTGAGCTAACCCAAATAAACATTACTATTTTTATCATAATTATTATTGTTAATATGATTATTTGTTACCATTTAGCCATTGATGGAATGTCAGTTAGTCTCTATACTCTTGAATCATCTTTCTATTGTGTAACAGAGTACTGATAAACATGTGGGATGCAACAGGTGTTATGTTTTGTATGTGAATACAAATTTTCTGCAACACTATATTCTATCGTCATTATACAACCTCTATTTTTTTTTTCAATGCTATAAAAATTGTGCCATGTGAGTAGCCATATGCTGTATTAGACTGCCTAATTTTTTATTCAAAGAAGGCAAAGGCACAGGGACGAAAGGCATTTGTTTTTAGGGAGTCTGTCTTTCTTGAAACAAGTGAAAAACCAACGACCTGAAGAGAAATCGCTTCCCTCAAGCTTTCTCTTCATTCCGCAATCATTTCCATCTCCGTTACTTTTGAAACGTACTCGGATTTTTATTTAATTGTTGTTTCAAAGTGAGCGCTATCGCGTGGGAGACCACGAAAACCTAGCTTGGAAGGAGTGGACCGGAAACTAACGACTTGGATGAGGCAATAGCCATGTCAGACGCACTTTTTGGCGTTTAATTTCTGTAAGAAATATTCTTGACAGTGCAGCAATACCTCATTATGTTGAATTAAAATGTACGAAAGACCTCAGAACCGCTTGACCGTGAAAGGTCTGGGTGCTAGACAATCGCGGTAGGTTTTGATTTTGCGTTTGATTGGTAGAGAAAGGCTTCGCGGTCATCCAATTTTGTAAATCACTCTGACTCATGATTACAGACAGAATTGGACGCGATTCAGTATCATCATTGTTAACTAGACGAAATGCGCGACAACAGCGTGAAGCTGAAGGTGACCTTGTTGTGATAGAGACCAGTATGTAGTTTTATTAAGAAGCATTTGATAGAGATCCCCCGATTCACTTTTTATTTCATGTAGCGTTTTTTCCCATTACTTCATGCGATTCGTTATATGAATATTATACTTCGATTTTCGTCTCTGATAGCCATAATATAACTCCTCTTACCCAATAAAGTTCTCTTTCAATATGTATAAATAAGGCAAAGACATTTCAAAATTCGTTTTGTGAAATAAACTTTCAAGAAGCAGGAAATCCAAGTGGAAAAATTACAGGGGCTAATGGTGGCTGGGGAAGGGCTATTGTGAACAACTCACTGGAATGAAAATTCGTAAGATTTGGGCAGGAGGAGATGCTTTTCGAAGACAGCCCTATGAGGAGGTATTGAGAACTTTTTCAGAAACCAAACTATGCTTCTTATTGAAATAAGGACAGTTCTGCATAAGAATTCACCTTCACTTTATACGAATCCTGAAGAAAATATTTCATAAAATTAAGGCATCTCTACATTAATTTGCCTACTGAAATCACAGCCAGTGGTGCTTATCAGAGGGAAGGTGCATAATTAAGAGGAGGCCCTGTGCCAAATCAGTTGCAGTAGAAGCTTCAAAAGTTATAAATGAAGTGGCAATTATTGAAACAGGTTTTCCTTGTATCCTTACTATTTAGGAAGTGAGGGAGGTGGGGCTCTTATATTGAGGGGGGTGCTTGTTTAATTTTACGGCCCAAGGAGTGGGTGCTCGTTCTAAGGAGGAGGGGGCACTTATTAGAGCATAGGTGCTTATTCAAGGAAATATGGTATGTTACTTATTTTTCTTGTTTCAAAATATCAAAAAGAAATCTGTTAAGAGTGTAGGAAAAAATATGAAAAGACCGTATAACCAGAATGCTGCAAGTACTGGCACCACAAGTGAACCCCTCTCTCCTGGAGTATGTAAAGTTATGTACAATGTTATCCATATCCAAGAAAATCCTCGTACTGTGGCATTCAATAGAGGAGTTGAGTGTTTTAGGTGATAAAGACAAGCTGTTTGGCTTGCCAAACGAAGCAGAGCCTAAAAAAAAAAGCCAAGAAAGGAGATTACAAATGGCAGATCGAGACGATTTATGAATGACACGGGATACTATGAGGCCTTGCATTGCGCAAACAAGCCTTAAAATAACCATTAACCCTTTAACTCCCAGTTCAAGTTTGTCATTCTCCTTACTGTCAACCATACAATTCTTATAATGTTAGCTCTAAGAATTTAGTATTGGATCAACTTATTATCTCCAAATTGATATTTTTCTTTATTCTCATCACTTATCTGGTTGATATTGTAAGGTGAAACTCTGTCAATTCAGGATATCTTTCTTAAATTTTTTCATAGCAAAGTATCTTGGGGCCTGGAGTTGGAATGCAATGTATAAAAAATACACAGTGCCTTCATGTAAGAGAGTAACACTTAATAACAAAAAAAGAAACACCAAACTTGTGGTTGTGCACAAAGAAAAAATACTCAATGCTCAGTATGGTTTAGGAGTTTGAAAATACTTGATCAAAAAATTTCTTAATGTTCTACCATAACCATCAGTGACAAAGTTTATTTAAGGTTACCATAAACCATGATGGGTTTCCAAAACCAAATCCAAAATTTCCAGGAAGCATAATATTATATTCCTATATTAATCTTCAAACCCCTAAATTAATAAGACACTTTTCAAAATCAAATTACTCACCAGAATGAGGATACTGAAGATTAGTTCAAGTGCACCTCGTTTCAACAGTTCCTTTTCTAGATAAGGTAATTCACCACACAGAAGGGCAATAAATGGAAGACATATGACACAGCTAAAATTCAGCAAATAGAGTAACTGGGAAATTGAAACCTGCAACTGAAAAATGAAAAGAAATATTGACTTGTTAAAAAGAGATTTTAACACAGATGAGACATTCACTCTCAACAGAATTAACTAAGAGGTTCAAACCTTTTACCAGACTAACCTAAATCAAGCTTTCCAGCTGTACACTCATCAGCTTCCATGATGTCATTGTCACTCTGGCCACCCATTTACACACTTGCTAATTCACAATTAAATTACATCTGTCTACACCAAAAGACCGTATTTTATTGCAAGTACTCAACACAAACTGATGAAAAGCAACTCATCAAAAACTCATCTCATCTATGTGCGAGTAACCTATAGCAGGGTTGATATCTGTCAGTCAAAACCTAGCAACATATCAACGTATGTAATACAATGTATGAAACATGATTTATTACCCAAAGAAACACGACAGTGTAAGCGGGATCTGCACAATGGTTTTATAAAGGATAGTGTGAACTGAACCCTAGGGGTCATATGATAAGAAATTTTACAAGCATTAGTTAAAACGGCACTTATAAATCTTTAAGTCAAAATATTTCATGTTATTTTTTAAGGCACCACTCACTTGTTAGGCATTTGATGTCTATAGGCAGCTGACAAAATAATGTCAGGCAAACTCACCATGCAAGAACAACATTGTGAACATTATCTTGTTTCAAATCATTATTGAATTCCAATTCAATTTGGAAACAGAGGATAAGAAGAGCCACCTAGTGAAATGTTCCCAGCTAAATTCCCCTTTATTTGTTATTCGTTTTATCATGATTAATATTATTACCTTGGACAAGCATCTTTTTGCCTGCACAATAAAAAAAGCCAGAGACATGCCCATTAGAAGGCCAAAAGCTCCATGACTAAAAGACATTCTATAATGTGCAGGACGATCTTCAAATGAGCAGAACAGAATCATTACAAGTGAACTTGATGTAGCCACCAATAGGATAATCTTGTCAGGATAGGCATGGCGACCAGTCAACCAGGACGCTATTAACACTAAAGGTGCCATTAAGGCCAGAGATATCTACAAGATTAAGAAAAAAGTGAAATTTGGCTGGAGTAATAAGTTGTTGAAATCTCTAGACCTTCTTAAACCTCTAAATTCTCCTTACAATAACACTACTCTATCCAACAATCAGGTATGGAGAATCAACTAACAAAACACTTTAAGGGTGAAATCCTGATAAAACACCAGATTTAGAAGCCTGGCCAATCAGAGTACAACATTTGTGCTGGAACACTATTTCATATAATGAACACCAAAACACTTTTCACAAAAGTCAGAATAACTCATATCATTGAGTTTTCTTTTAAATTTACTTAGGGGAGAAGAACTCCCAAGGGGTCTATACTTTGTTTTAGCACTGGATAGAAGGCTAAATGGTTTTGACATTATTTCACTCCACTGTTTTATTTAACTTTTTTCCCATTTTTATTTTTGCAAATTAGAAGGTATCTTCCACCGGCTGATGACTGACTGAAAACAAATGAGTTATTGAGACTTGTATAGAATTAAGTCACTCTGTACTCCAGCTACACCCAGCTGGCACACCCAGCTGAAGCTTATCCTGGATTCCTAAATATGAAGCGACTAGGAGTCATCTCAAAGTGCAAGAATTGCCACTCCCCCCCTGGATGGGATGCAAGTCCTAGCATTTCATTGAGCTTCCCTGACAATGTGCTGGTACCTATTCATACCCCTGGCTGAAGAGAGGTAACATAACACAATGTAACATAACACAATGACTCAGCCATGTTGTGAACCCAGACCTCTCGACCCAGACCTCTTCACCCTGATTCCAAAACACTAACCATTAGAACACGACATCTTCGACCATGTAGAATCAGAATCATTACAACAAATAAAAAATATATAATTATATACAAAAAGACTTTAATTGGTACAAACCAAGTAGGATTCAGATCCAGCAGAAATCCCAAAGGTGGAATGATTAAAATCCAGTCCGAAGAAAGTTGCAGTAGCCACAAAGTAGAAAAGGAGTGGACGGAAATTTATTTCTTGACTCCTGAAACTAAAGAGTGAGAAGAAATTTACATTTAATGATTTATTCTAAATAATAATTACAATGCTTCCAAAGCTATACTCTAAGATAGGATTTTAATAATCTCCAAGGGGATGGCCAATAACCAATTACAGCGCATATGGGAATGAGAAGTATAGAGACCTGACGCAGGGTCGATGTCACTTAGAAGGATGTCATTGAAACTATTGCATGGTTGTCCACGTCCTCATCTCAATCATTACTAGTCCTAAGGCTTACATTGAATTCTCTTACTGGCAGCATGACCTGTTCAATTTAGATGAACTATGTCAAAATGAGTGTAAAGCTGAATTTTGCTTCCTAAAAAACGATATTTATCCACTGAAAGATGTATCACAAGTACCCCAATGAGTTGTTTCCTGCTTCATAAGCAGGATTTCCCTAACATAGAAAAATTTCATGTCTTTCACTCAACTTCATGAAAGAACTATACAGAGATACAAGTAGCTTAACAAATAAGGTCAGTGGGAACAGCACATACACCGATGCTGATAGCAGCCAATTGTTCACAAGAACAACTCATGACACAACTACGTTAACTTACTCGAAATCAGAAACTAAAAGAGCTGCAAGTCGATGTTACTTGCAGTCTTCACTTAGTCAACAAAATCTAGTCAAATTTTCAAAATTTCTTTTTTTTCTTTCCTAAGTTAGCGAAAGCATCGACATTTCATTTTTCCAAAAAAAATCCTTCAATAAACCCAATAAAGAAAGCGAGATGCGAATGAAAGAGTGTTATAGGGGAACTGGTACTGAATGGGCAAAAAGAGGTCATTATTTATTCAGTCATAATCCGAAAGGCCTCCAACAGAGTGTTAAAATCGAGTTTACAGCCACGGAAATAAATGGAATTTCGTTCATATTTCTTAAAACCCTGAATGAAGAGTGTCTTCATGAAACGGCCAAAAAGAAGAAAAGTTGCCGTAGGTAACATCTACCAGAAAGCTCGCTCACACCAGCGTTTTTCTTTCAGCCCACTTTTCCTACTATTTGTTTTTCGCAATGGATTTTTGGAATTCATTTACCGTTGTTAAGCTGTTTTCCCCGAGAAACCGTTCCCGCGAATGTTTCAGTGACTCCACTGTCACAAGACTCGTTCGGGGATTCGATGTTGCGTTTCATTGGTCGGCGGCATGGCCCCCTGTGTCACGCTCTTAAATGGCCGAATTTATACTAGAGACGAGTTATCCGTCAGAGACGAATCATCCGTCTCAGACGGATAACTCGTCTAAATATAAATTCGGTACTAAGACGAATTATGGAGCAAAATTCGTCTCAGGCTGATCCGTCTGTCAGCACGTCTTCAAGACGTGCTAACAGACGGATAGCTCGTCTTAGACGGATCATCCGTCTCTAAATTTTTATCTAGACGGAAAACGAAGACGGTTTTTGACGAAGTTTCCATATGAGAGAGACTTGTTTCTATAGTTTTTCAATTTTCTCCAAGAATGAAATGAAATGTGTCTCTATTAATTCGAAGTCTTTTTTTAAACTGCGACTCCGACCAGTTTTGAAGGCCGTCCTCCCACCATTTCTTGTTTCTTATCTCATCTCTACTTCTTGTCTTCCTATCTTGAGCAAGATTAGCGAGAGAAAAGGGTAACATGAAGTTCATTAAGCTATTTTCCGGCTCAAACATGCGCTTGACAGAGGATATTCTTCTCTGAGATACCGCCATATCCAGTGCTGTTCTTCTCGATTTCATCATCAAGGCTACGAGAGCCGCCATATTTAAGCTCTCGCCAGGCTTCCACTCGGCTCAACACCGAGACACCCGTCGTGAAACTCGCGAACGATTTATATCTAGACAGATTATTCGTCAAAATTCGTCTTCGGATTTATACTTGGATCATCCGTCATACGGATAATCCGTCTAGCCGAATGATCCGTCTCTAGTATAAATCGGGCCAATGATGTGCGAAAAATACGAATTTCTCTGCAGGCAAAGAACTCGAGGTTTCCTTTAACGCGAGTTACCTCTACTTGAACGAATCAATTGGGAATTTAGATTTTTCGGGTTTTGATGAAACTTGACCACGATATTCGCCAGATATTCACGCACTAAATGGTGTGAAGCTTTCACGAAATTCGAAATATAATTCGGTGACGTCCCGGCGTGAGCAAACTACCGAAGTACATGTATAAATAGATTTTCTCAGTAACCAATAGAAATATCGAAAAAGCCTCACACCCTATGTTAGCCTATTATGACGGTAACGCGGAGGTTATCGTGTTTTTATAGCTTGCGCGTGCCTACCAAACCAAAAGCCGTTTTAATATTTGGTTACTTTCAGAATCTACGCTTTTTAAACTTTACAGTGATATACAGTTTTGTTCATGGTAGCGCGGTAAGAATGATTTACTCAGAAGGCACTCTATTTTCTTGATGGTAACTTTGACTTTACAAAACCGCCAGAGCGACGGAATGGCGGAAAATTACCCCAAATCTTAAAAGACGGAAGTATAAATAGTATACACATTATACCAAAGGACAAAGCCAAATGTAAAGCTAAAAATTTTTTAAAAGTAATTTGTTATTTTAACGGAAGATCACCGTATTCTCAACATCGACGACTTGCGATCAAGCGGCATTCGAGAGCGTGACAACGACGTGACAAAAACACCTTTATTACATTTGATATGCACGCGCAAGTTATTATTTTTAGTCGCGCGTCGTCCTTGCGTTAAGGACTCTTATACCAAGCAAACAACGTTACTTTCATAGGAATCACAACAATGTGAAAAACCTTCTGGCTGTATAAAGAATATTCCATTACGGGCGAGAAAGATTTCCGTGTAACCCTGTACTGTTCAGAAACAAAACCGAGGTCGCAAACGTAATCTAATATTTTGCCATCGATTTGGTTTTTTTTTTCATTTTTCAATCCAAGTACTGTATGCATAATGAAGTATAGAGGACGGACGAAAATTTCACTTACCTTCGATTTCGTTTTCTTCCCCAAAATCGAAAGGAAAATACAATAACGCAGCTCTGTATCCAGTAAAAGGAGACTGAAGACTTGCAGTTCTCTAATTGTATGAAGTTTGTTATATTTTCCACGATTAAAACAATCGCAAAAAGAAGCGTGGAGAAAAATATGTGAATTTTACTATGCACTGAAGAGTCCTTCCAGTACGACAAATGTCTATCTCCTTCTTTAACATCCATCGAATTTTTACACGTGGATGAGAAACCACCATCTGTGACAAGTACATCTGTAGTGTTGTGTAGCTCCCAGTGGAAACGCTCTTTCATTCCTTCCTGTAGCCCCATCAGACCGCTTACTACCCCAGAGACGTCTTCACTGGACGAAAAACAAAATTATTTCCAATATTTACCGTAAGGAGAGCTTACCTAGGGGATTAAAAATCAGTGACATGATCCGTTGTTCATCATGACAGAGGCAATTGGGAGCAGTCCTGGATATCAATTCAAAGTACAAACCGAGTGCGTCACGTTATTCCTCACCTGATAGCACTATTGCACAATAATCTCGTCGTTAGAAATTCTTAATTGTTAACTATTTAATTTTTTAGCCAGACAAGCTGGCCTGCCGGATACGCGCCCTGCGCGCACAAAACCTTCAGCTGCTCAGGTTAATTTGTTTTTGGTTGGTTGCCACCTGGCAGGTCGCTTGCGGGTGTCTGATTTTCGAGAGACTAAATTGAATTAATTAAGACTGACTTCGTTTTAAAGAAGAACGGAGGCTTTTTTTATCCCTCTGGAAAACGATAGCACACAAAGGGCGGACCACTGAGTTTTTCGAACAACTTCACAGAGTCCAAATAACGTAATCCATTTTTTTTTTTTGGTCAAACTTCTTTTCCGGGAATTAAGCTCGGTCGTAATTTAATTCTAAAACATGCAGTTAAAAAAACATTGTTAAACCTAAAAAGGATGTACTAAATCAAAACCATGGATTTAACTAGATAAACAAAACAGTGTTGAACAAAGCTAAAGAGAATAAATTTTTCATGAAGAGGCACTAACGAGAAAAAAAAAAAACCTTTGCGCTCTGGTAAGTAAACAGAATTTGTGCTTTGTTTGTGGAGCTGTGTTCTATGACTGTGCCCCGAGAGGGCCTTTCAGCCCCAAACAAGAGAAAATTGTATTACTATGAAAGATCATGACTCGTCTCTCCTGATTCAATTGGCGCACTTTTGCAAGACCACACCTTTGGTTTTAGTGGAAGCACGAGTGAAATCCTCTTCATAGAGAAAACCGCAAAACGGAGTAGCAGGAAATATCTGCAAAGTCAATAAGCTGGATACACCAAAAACACAGATGAAAAGTACACTTGCCATTCTCTTCATGCCCAGAAGGAAACCGGGCGCCAGTCATAAAGCTGAGAAAGCTCTTTCTCTTTCTCTCTCTCTTTCGCATATAATGTTGCCTTTCCACCACTGATATATCAGACTAAAACTTTGTGCCTCTCCTAAGCGACCTAACACTTGTTTCTCAGTTGAAATATTATTTTGAAGTGTTGATATGTTCTAAAACTGTTCGGTTCAATCTTTTGAAATGGTACGCAATTTTCCGGCCGTTAATTCTAGTAAACAACGATTCAAGCATGCTGAATTTACTACATGGTCTCGTACATGCAAGAAATTTGTTCGTTTTCGCTTCTGAGCAGAAAATTTAATTTAAATTTTAATAAAGATTTGGTTTCGAAATAAATCTTGGGCGTTTTTGCCTTGTCATTTATTCATAGTTTTCGGTTATAACACGATTACCTGGTAAACCCGACATAGCTGTAATAACCTGTTTTTTTCGAGCACAACTTGTGTCTGTATACTGTTATTACTCAAAAAGCTAGAGTTGCTCTCGGCTGCGCCTCCAGCAACTCGTACACTTTTCTCGTGCTCTCCAAACTTCCCGTGTTCATCCATAACTCGATATACGCATGCTAAGCATGGAGCAATTATTTATTACCCTGATTAAAATAAAGCTCGTTTCACATGATCGTTAAATTTGCTCAACGGACTAAATTTTAAAAGATACCTTAACTCACCCTAAAAGAGATTTAACTCGTCATCATATCGGTAAGATTCATGACCACAAGGCTTTTTCAGTTCAAAAGCCTAATTTCCATACTTAGTGAGAAATGTTTTCGTATTTTTTCCCTGGAGGTCTGTTGTTTCAAAATGAATTTTAAATATCTGCCATGTCACTCAATATAAAGACTTGATGTGCAAATGTTGTAAACCTGCAAACAAAAATTTTTAAGCTAGAAGAGTCTAGCTCCGTCGTAATGGACGGTTTACCAGAAACGAAAAAGGGGACCTGTCGAAAGTCCTATTACGGCATACTCATTTCATTGAGCGTGATAATGGTGGGTCTTCTTTTGGCGTGGGGACCAATTCCGCCTCCTTATTACCTTAAAATAGCGAACTATGTCTTGAAGGATGTTATGAGTGATGAGGAAAGGTTTCTTGAAAATGAGCTTCAACTTGCTCTCAAGGAATGGAGAATGTATCAGATTGAAAGCCGCTTTGGCCAAGAATGGTGCAAAGAAAATTTTACATCGAGAAAAAACAATGTAACATGGCTTACAATTGTCGTCAACGACGAATTTGCTATTCCTGCACTGGTGCTTGGTCTCTCTATCCAAACATTTTCCTGCCAGAGGAATATGGTAGCCTTGATTTCGGACACGTTGTCCACGGAGACACATAGGGCTCTTCAGAAAATTGGCTGGGACACCCGCATAGTCGAGGCAATGGACTGTGATTGGCTTGAGACCAAATATAACGCGATTGACTATCGTGCATTTACTGGAGGGGCAGGAATTAAGGGTACACATACTCGATTCCACGCTTGGAACTACACCGAGTTTTCCAAAATCATTTATGTCGATGCTGATTACATGTTGATGACGAATATCGATCAATTGTTTGATATTCCAGGTGACTTTGCTGCTGCACCTTGCTCCAGACCGGGTGTAGTGGATCCATGTTTCAATGCAGGTCTCATGGTGTTCAGACCAGACGTGCAACAGTACCAAGATATCCTGAGTTTGTGGTGGAAAATGACTAGACAAGGAACTTGTCCAAATGATCAGGTTCTGCTATGGTATTATTACGTCGCCGAGGGCAATTGGAAAAGGCTTCCTTACGCATTCAACATCAGACGCAACATTTACAGGCCCCTAAATTCATTCCATTTTGCCTGCTGTAGTCCGCCTAAGCCATGGTCGGCAAAGTGCAGACCAAGTAGGAAAGAGGCTGAAGATTACGACAGACCAATATTTGTTACCAATGACATGATATTAGTTTTTTGGAAGAAGTTTTACGAATTGCTAAGGAGGTACGATTTAGAGAACTGGTGGAGATCCACGAAATGGTTTCGGCCAGATCAGGAGTTTCATGCTGAGCCATTTGCTGCCTGTAACAAGGTTGGCAGCCAGGGAACCAATTTCACTTTGTGGACTGAGCTCCCTTCATTTGGATATTTAACAAGTTTCAATTTCACTAAAATCAATCTTCCTTTCCCAAATTATTGGGACTCAATATTTTCTAGAAATCAGACATCTGGCAAATAATGTTTTAAGACCCCATGAACACGAAGAAGGGTAAGCCTTTCGAATTACTAGAAGGTGGCGCCTTAGCTTGTTCCGTAGACGTTTAATTATAGTCTTGTACCCGACAGGATCTGGGTACGAGATTAGTTCGGTTAGTAAACGAAGCGCGAGTGTATACAGCGCTATAGTAGCGAGGGAGCAAAACACCGAGTGAGGAAGGTTCCCCAAACAATCGCAGAATTTGGTTCGTATCGTAATTTCAAATGTATCAGCAAATGACTCAAAGATGCAAAGTGTGGCTCCCACAGTGTGTTGTCGAAAAGCTAAGAACAGTGGACTTAACTGAAGCGATTCAGTCAGGGTTCGTACCCTTTTTCAGAAACAAATTTCCAGGACTTTTCCAGGACTCAGATTGATTTTTCTAGGAATCCAATTTTCCCCATAAATCCTCTCATTCCCAAGATTTCAAAATCAATTCTTCTACACTTCTTTTTAACGTAAATTCTGAAAACTTTATTGCTTGTGTTAAGAAGATTTCCAGGACTTTCCAGGTTTTCAAGGACCCGAACGAACCTTGTTCAGTGTTGATTCAGTCCACACCTTACGTGTGTTTGCATGGTTCAACAGAAGGAAAAATCTAGCCATCTTAGCCAAACAGACTCAGTTCGCATCAATGCATTAAATATGTAGCCGAATTATTCCAACAAAGAACTGCAGCATAAATTCAGTAAACAAGTCTTGGTGATTGTTTTCACCGTCTTCAAAACGACAGGAAAAACTAAAGTGCCGCTAGCCTAAGAAAACACTTCCTTCCTGCTCGCGGGTCCAACGAGATCTCAGTTGTTGGAGCCACAGGTAGTCCAAATTCGATATACGACCACATATATACTATAAAAGAATTGTATAGGCGGAAACGGTGACAAATATTGATGATTTAACTATAAAGATAGCTGACTTTACTTCAGTCTAGCGTTTCTTTGGCTCCGGTGTGACTGTTGGGTCGATTCGAAGCGATTTGGCGGTTTTTAGCTCACCCACCTTTTTTTTTTTCGAAGAGGACCTTGCAACCTATCCAGCCGCGATAGGAAAAAACGTTCGAATGAAGCAGTCTGCTAACTTTTAGAGTGAAATCACGGATATTTTGGGTTTCTACATGCAACCGTCTCGTTCGAACAATTTTAAAAAATAATTCTGCTTTTGCGAAATGCAGCAGATGTACTTATGTCAGCAACGAGCACGGGCTACCCGTACAGAAGAAAATTGAAATACCTTGAGCTTTCGTTAAATGTTTACATCTTTCCGCGCTAATTAATGAGAACTGTGGCTTTCCCTGGCCTGTGATATTTCAAAAGCTCTACAATCTATTGAGGCGTTCACCAACTCCGCGGGATTGCAAACAATTACTAGCTTACTTCCTTTTAAAGCAAAATTTCCACTGTAAGAAATATTGTATCGCTATTTTCCTACGTTTCTAATTATTTTGTATTCAGTGGGCAAAATAGACTTGATAGAAAAATTGAAACTGGTAACCTGAATAGGGCTACACAATGCTTGTTTTGATTAAATATTTAAGTCACGAGGCAGGAAGCTTCGCCATCTGTCACACAGTGGGATAATCGCTTGGGATAAGAAACGAAATTTTTTGTTTTAAGTCTCTTAATTTTGAAGAACGCATATTTGCTCTTCTAAAGGTGTTTCTATTTTCCAAGAGGCTAAAAAAAAAGTTAATATCTAAGTAATTCACGAATTTCTCCTGCCGTACCATCAATAAGTTCAAAACATATCGAATTACCCAAACGAATGGTTGCACATCTGAGAGATTACGTGGCCCACAGATCCTGTTTTCATATAACCTGTCACACAAGGAATAAAATCGACTGATAGTCTATCAGCAAGGCGACCAACATGTAGTATATGCATTATAATTGGAATTTTCGTCCAGCCCGGCGATTCGCAACCACAGGTCTTCTAACCACAAACAACCTGTAGTATTATTAGTAGATTGACTATGAAGGACACAAAAAAAACACATGGCGGATCACATCGGCCTCTTTACGGATTGACAGTCTTGATTTCGATCGCGGTGGTGATTTTCATCTTTCTGTGGAGACCAATTCTGCTTTCGTATTTCTTCAGATACACTAAGATTATTATTTCAGAAGCTATGAGCTATGAGCAAAGAATTATGGACAATGAATTACAGCTTGCTCGTAAGGAATGGAGAACGTACCAGATTGAAAGCCGTTTTGGGCAAGAATGGTGCAAAGAAAATGTACAATCAAGAAGCGATGTCACATGGCTAACAATTGTTGTAAACGATAATTTCGTCGTTCCTGCGTTGGTTCTGGCTCACTCCATTCGAACGTTCTCTTGCCACAAGAACATGATTGCTCTGATTGCAGATACAGTGACAAAAGAAGCCCAAAGGGCACTTCAGAGAGTTGGTTGGGAAACTCGAGTAGTCGAAGCAATGGACTGTGACTGGCTGGATGCAAAATTGAGCTTTGAAAGAAACGAAGGATTGTTCGGAAGACCACGAGGCTACAGAATAATAGGAACACACACTCGATTTCACGCGTGGAAATTTACTGAATTTTCTAAAATCATTTATGTCGACGCCGATTACATGTTGATGACGAATATCGATCAACTGTTCGATATTCCAGATGACTTTGCCGCCGTACCATGCGCACGACCTGGTGTAGTAGATCCTTGCTTTAATGCTGGTCTCCTTGTTTTTAAACCTGACACGAAATACTATCAGGAAATCATGGACTTATGGCGAGAAACCACCGAAAGAGATACTTGTCCCGACGATCAAGTTTTGCTCTGGCATTATTATGCAGATGCTGGTAAATGGAGAGCACTTCCTTACGCGTTTAACATCAGACTCATCACCTACAGACCTTTTAACTCTTATCACTTTGCTGGAGGCAAAGGCGGCTATCATCCCCCCAAGCCGTGGTCCGCAGATTGCAGACCAAGCAGGAAAGAAGCTGCAGAGTATGACAGACCAATTGTTGATATAACAGATGTAGAAATAATTTTCTGGAAGAATTTTTATCAGCTATTGCAAAGGTATAATTTAGAGGACTGGTGGAAATCTACAAAGCTGTTTCGACCAAGGCAAGAGTTTGGTGTTGTACCCTATGTGGATTGTAAACAAAGTGACTTGTGATATGAGAGCGAAGACATACCAGTGGGTTACCGTTCGATGGAACTTGGATTTGCTTGTAAATTAGTAAAGGAAAAGTGGAGTTATAGTCGCGATAACACCTTTTCGATCAGAAGTTTTTTCTATTTTCATCAACTGTCCGCTGTTTACTGTTTTGATCTGAATTACAAGGAGTTACATGGCACTGATTTCTCAGAGTTTAAAACAATATTAAACCAAGAATGAACTACTCGATTACAGCTTTAAATACTGATAAGTGGTGGTCACCATTTTCTGTTTACAGAAAACATTAATATTATTTTTTCCTTTTATTATCCCAACACCAAAAAGCTCGAGTATTTTTCTTATTTAAATTGATGATATAAATTTATATTGGATATATTTGCAAAACTAATGTATGGCCTATCTCCTTCACATTTCTAATAAACTTGGCAGTTTTACATTTTATCAAATGTATGTCAATTCAGTAGAAGTAAAGTGGTGTCAGAACCAATATTTTGATACCCAAAATAACTTCCAAACATATTTGCAATTCGGTTCAGTTTTTCGAGTTTTCAGGAGAGTAGCCAGCTTGTCTTCAACCAATAGAGAACAAATGAACACAGCCACTGGCACTACCAAAGGCTACAACAGGCCAGTCCCGATGAAATGCAACACTGCTCACTTTATCTAGAAAATATAAGCAGGATAAATATAGCATTGTTGTAAAAATGTTCATGATGGACCCTAATGATGGAGCCGATGACAACCATGGTGATGATTTTGTGGTTGTTATTTGGGGCATTAAGGGGTCAGGATGGCAAACGTAGAGGAAGATGTTAAAATGTAAATTTTTATTTTCATAATTTCACAAATGGCTGGATGTATGTTACATCACTTACAGCGCCTGACCTCAAGTTCAGCATAACGGGTTGATCATTTCAAAGCTTCAACATCCACCCCCAGACATTTAAACTTTTGAGGGTTGGTTTGTTCAAATTCCTGCCCACCCCTTAAGCCAAAAATTGAGTTCAAATGCCGCCCCCCCCCCCCCAGCACAATTTTCCTATTGAACTATTCTTTGTGTGATCAACAAATGTTGTATAATGTAGCAAAGTTTTTGGTGCTGCTTGGGAGATTTCACGTCGTTGTTTTAGCAGAGAGCGTCTAAGAAATTTAAAAAAAATTTAATCGCTCGCACTGAGTTATTGCTCCGCCCATTAGATCTTTTGTTTGGCCACGTCCTCGTTCCTGTCGTCGTCGTGGTTTGCTAAAGCTCTCTATTGATGATGATCATGACGATAAGTTAAACTGAAGTTAAAGTTTAATTGTTTGAAAACTGTGCTGCTGCAACTCTTAATTTAAAGAGACATTTCAGTACTTCATATGAAAAATTCATGATGGGTAGAAAAGTTAAAAGCGTACGTTTTTTCGGGGGGGGGGGGTCCAAATCCGTGAGGGAGGGGGGGTCCAGATCCGTTGACGGATTTGGACCCTTTGTGACACCGCTACCCGTAGTATTTCCCCTCTCAGACTTACAAGAACGCTGCCACACTGAATTTCGTACGGTTTTCATACCTTGAAACACTTTCATCGAAGCAAGCCTTCGACTTTTGGTGATGTTCCACAGGTTCACCTCACCTGTGGCCTGACCTCCTGCTGCGATATACTGACCGTTAGTGCCTATCGTGTGGAACCTTGATGAGATCAAAATTGACATAGGCGAGTTAGATCTTAAAAAACCGCTTAAGACCGCTTAATACGGTGCCGCTTAATACAGGCTCGACTGTATTGGCCTTTTCGATTGCAAGTCGTGAAGCCAAAAGACAAACACATCAAAAAAAAAAAAGGCAATCAAGAGTTAAGCACATAGCGCGGAAAGAACACAACATCAGGATGGAACCAACTTTATTTCAGAGTCAAGTCAAGGGTCGCAAAATCGAATTAAGAGCAAATTTAAATTGAGTGTCGAAATTACTCCAGGGTTGAAGTACGCTTGGTTCTTTTCATTCCTTCATAGGCTAAGAAAACTCGTACCACCCCCTCAATCAATATTCATGCGAAACTCAACTTAGTACTTGCGTTTATTCTGCGCTTTAAGCAGTTTGCATGTATTTAGTTTGATTTCTAACTAGTCCAAGGGGTATTCTTGTTTGTTCAGACTGGTTGTTGCGATTACTTTTATTAAGTTTACTTAGTTTCGTTTTCATAGAAATCAATCATAGACTCCACATTCGTTTAAAGATCATCTCTACGATACTTACCCATCTATTGGAAAAAAGCGTTCCAGGCATACCATTTGGGATGTTTTTGGATTCAAAGCAAGTAACAAACAAGAATAATTTCTTTCTCCACATTGAATTTCCTGAAAATCGCAAAAGATCATCACTGGTCTGTATGGAAGCGACAGTAGGCAACAGTAGGTCTCCCAAGTTTGGCATATGTCAGTGACATATCAGTCAGTGCTTTCATCAAGTGTTCATTAAATAAATAACAAAGTCAACTGAGAAGTCTGCCTCATTGCCTGATAAGAATCTGTGTGTGCAAATATGAGTAGTACCTGACACCAATATCCGTCAATTAATCACCTTAGTGTGGCTGCCCTATCTTTCTAACAGTTTATGACTATTATTAACTTTTGGGTTCAAATAAAGTTGTTGTTGTTGATGAATGTATGTGAATACCGTACCTTCTAATTTGAATCCATCTGCATGCATATATTTCAACCTTACACTCCCAGACACATTTGTTGGGACACCTCCCGTCTCCCCTGCTTCTCTCAATTTTGGTCCGCAAGATGGCAGAAAAACATTGGAAGGGGGAGAGGAGCCAAAGAACAACGTAGACAGTTTTCTGGAGAAGTGTCCCAACTAGTTATGTCTGGAAGTGTTGCTCAGTAAAGCCGTCGTTTTACAAGATTGACGTTTAAGTTAGGTCCGTCTTTTTTTTTAATAGAGCATCTTTCTCATTTATTCAAGTTTGAGTTTTTTTCTTCCCCAACCTCCGAAGCCCAGGGTTAGTTTATCAAGACGACATGATTCATCCTTTGGTCCACCAGTTGCAAAAAACTGTCGATAGGTCCTCTCTGAGGGTTATTCCTTTTCCTTTGAACATTTTCATGTACAAACTAACATATCCGATCAAAGCAGCAGTATATCACAGCAGTGCATGCTATTCAGCAGATTATAGTTACTTTTGAGCTCGACCACAAATAGAGGCCGGCACCCCAATTAAACTCCAAAGCCAAAATGAAAAGCCTCCGACGTTTGTTTGTACAGTAAGAAGTTTTAATGAGGCGTTTTCGTAAGGGCAGCATATAATCGTTGTGACTTATTTATCATTGTTTAAACGTTTACACGACAATCACTCCAGATTCGCTCTGATTTTAACTGGCAAATCAAGGGTTTTAAAACTGATCGGTCAGTGGAGGTCAAAGTGAGAAAAGATGAGACAGTATCTGCTTATCAGTCGCCGTTCGAGTTACAAAATGTCTGTATTCTCTATCCTTTTTACCAGGAGTTGAAGTTACAACAACTTCGTCAAAGGCTAGAGGAGTGCTAAAAAGATTAAAAACAATTTTATAACAATACCTTTCCTGATCGACCAGCCATCATAAGAAAAAGAAGCCCCTAAAACCGAAAAGACAAGCCTTTAGAGTCACAGTTGTTAAAACTATGTAATGATCCTGAATCGAGCTGCGACAAATCACCTGTAACCCTCTGACTCCCAAAATTCAACTTGAAATTCTCCCTTTAAGTTCCATACATCTTGGTCTAAATGAGTGAGAATAATTCACCACAATGAAAAATCGTGTCTTCTCACCACTTACTTGCTGGATAATGGATAAATATAGTACGGAGAAGTTACATATCGGTCACTCTGGGGAGGATTTGTAAGACAATATAGGGTCCACTCTGACTGAAGCCAAACTACTATGAAAAATGAAACAAAATAAAGGTCGTACCCTTTCAGTAGACGCTTTAAGGCAAAACAACTGACCAAGACCTTGGGTACGGAGACTTATGGTTCGTAACTCCTGGCATGTCTTGTGATTCCTGAAATCAAGGACGAAAACCACCGTTATGACATTTTTTACGAATAGGTTTACAGTCAAAATCAGAAAAACGTGAACATGTGTATGTTTCGGGAATATTGTTGTGTTATGACTTATTATGTTGGACTGATCAGTACAGGTGAGCCAACCAAAAAAGCATGAACTTAATACTCTTGTTGCTTAAAAGTCGATAATCTTAAAAACTCCTTGTCGATGAAAAATAATCCTAGAAACATATTTGTAATATATATCAGGGATAGTTTTGAACAGTGCAACATAGCAATGCTTTGAACCCATTCAATCATCGTGCGGAGTATTCTCTTAACGCATGCGCAGTACAGCCTCGCATCAGTATGTATATTCTCCATACTGTTCTCTATACATTTCGTAGGGTGCTGACAAGGAGACGTTTTATGACAAACAAGAGCTTCTTTAGTTTGTGACCCTTTCCTTTATTGTCGTTACCTTAATGTGAGATTCAGGGGTGATACTGTAGAAATTATTTGCGAGTCTCTCTTAAGGGGCAAAGGGTCAACTCAATATGAATGGTTGTTCTTGACTCAATATAAACCTTTCGAATAAACTATATCGTTTTAATGTCCAAGATTCTACAACAACAAGTCCCATTGGTGCCATTACTAAGAAAAAATTTTCCCACTTTTAAAGAGGCAAGTAAAATTTTTAAAGTTGAAAAAATATTTTATCCTTGAAGTTTATGCCTCTTCGGTAATCTTTTAAAACATTTGTTTGGCAGTAATGAGCGACACAGTTTTTCTAGTTTGCTTGGCAAAGAAGCATCTCAAAGCAGATATCATTCAGAAATGGGTACAAGGTGAGGTGTTACGATGTTATGTCAACCTCAGGGCAACTCTCTGAATATTGATTTGTTATGTACATGCCAGCAGACTACAACTGCTCTAGATTAATCACAAAAAATATATGTTACATCTAACTTAGCGATCATTTTTTTTGCCTATGTGACAACTCAGTTTGTAAGTCTTCTCATGGACGGATAAAGATCATGCATCATCGTTACAGATCGTTTCAACCGGAGTGTTTTTCGAGGTAATATTTTCAATAAACAATATAACAATCTGATCTGTTAATTGGGTTTAAAGTGCTACTTTGTACACAATTGATAGAGCAGATCATTGTACTACTTTCTAAAAACTATTTATCTATTATCTATCTATTCCCAAGATCAAATTGATGTGGAGGATTTCAATAGCATCGCTCTAGCTTAACATCCACTCCTAAACGGCTCCTTAACAAAAGAGTTATGATGGTCTTAGAAAGTACTCGATAGGATCAAAATAGCAGAGCTGCAGTATAAACCGGAGTGTTCGTTTGAATGTTAGTGACGTTTTCTCCGTTTTCTGAGGCTATGCACGAAAAATAACTACTTCCGATACAATTCTCTAACAAGTCACATAACAAACAAAGATGCGCCATGATTATCGAGTGAGAAGAGAGATTGTAAGACGACATTTCCTATTAACTCTAACGATGAAAAGACAAAAGGTGAAATGATTGGTGGCCATTAACGATTCAACATAAACGTGACACTTTACTTTTGTAACGAGTATTAACACGTGCATCTCAACGAAAAGAGAATATAACATGACCAACAAGGTGATCAGGGGCTAGTGCAACTCTATCGACTACTTCCATTTTTCGCGAATGAATTGAGCGTCTTGAATGTCATTCGATACAAGTTATTGAAAGAAAGACGAAGTCTTTTTGTCCTCTGATACATGGTACTTAAAATGGCTAATGAGCCATGAAATGTTGTGCACTGCTATACCACAAAACCACTTGAAGTAACTGTAGGCAGCTTTAAACGATAAATATTGAGCTGACACGTTTTAAATATATTTTTGACTCGTCCTTGATTAAAAATAACTTTCTCAAGTTATCAGATGAAACAAGGCTACCTTTACACCTTTTCTGCATGTTTCTCCGATGCGCTCCCTCCCCCTCCCCACAAGAAAAAAAAATAGCAGCGTTCCACATGTACTTTTATCATCTGTGTTGTAGTTGCATTCAACAGTTTTTTTTTATTTTCCAATCCAGTGCTAGTAGCAGGGTGTGATAGCAACCTCTCTTACTTGATACATGGATATATTTTGTGCTTAAAAAGCAATTAGTTAAGCAGCACCACAGACCACTTTAAAGATAAATATTAATACTACACTTCAGAAGAAAGGCTTAGAATAGATAAAGTAAGCCCGTCACAGTATTGCGATTTCAGATCGTTTCAGCTCAGGCAATACTGATTAGTATTACTGACACAGGCGACAACGATGACGAAGGACGCACTTACTTAAACCATATATAAAAAAATTTCCAGTTCATTCCTTAAAGTGTTTGCTCTTCTTAACAAACAGAGTAACACAAAAATGATGTCGAAAAGTCGTTTGGTATCTATGCTGCCTCTGATGTTTGTCATTCTGGTGACAAATGGCCTCGGTTTTACGGAAGAAGGTAATTCCTATTTCGGACGCACTCTATAAAGTCGGTGATGGTACAAACTATGCAATGGAGATCCCCTTTTGATGGAAAATATTTCTTTACATGAATAATACAAAAAAACAAATTTAGAGAAAAGAACAACTAGTAATGAAAGACGTAGAAGATTACAATAGTTCCGGACAATAGTTTGAAGAATGTTTAACTATAACCCTTCTGAAAATGCACCGATTCTTGCCCAGTAAACTGGAAAAGAGACAAGCGAGATATTTGGTCGGATAAAAAAAAGCCCCAGAGCAGACTGCCTTTCTTTTTCTTCTGGAAGTTGGTTTTGAATCAGAATTGTGAACCTATAGTTGGGTGGGTGGCCTGAAAGGGAAACATTTTAGCTAGGATTTTTCTTTTTCAGATCGGGAAATGTAGTATTTTCAAAAACGCAGTGGCACTGGATAGAAACCACAGCAAACAGCATTTGAAGCAAATTTGAAATAAGGCAGTACGATCTTAAGCCCTAGTCGCTCTGATCACTCCAGGGCTCAGAAGCTACCAACAAAAAGGGAAAGCCGTGTTCTGCTAACAATTCTAACATTTACAGACATTCAAGAGCTTGACCTCCCTAGAGAGGATGGAAGTTATGTTGAGTTGGAAGATCCAGGCATTCAAGAGCTGGACCTCCCTGAGAAGGATGGAAGTTACGCTGAGTTGGAAGATCCTTACACGGATCCGGATGTTGTCAGCGAAGATCCAAGGCGTCGAAGAAGTCGAAGGTAGGACGAACAGCTACGCGCAGAAAACTTAAGGCATTTCTAATGTTAAGGTGAGGGACCTTCCCCTCATTTACTAACTAAAATAAACTGTAGGCCAAAAGCTAGAGATGTTGAAGAAAATCAATTTTTTTTCGCGACAGATGTGGACCGGACGTGACATCTTGGCTTATAAGGCAAATGAACCGTAACAGAAACAACAGAGCCATCAGAAGTTGCCGTAGCTGGTACAACACTTTTCTCTGGCCCAGGTGTCTCGTTCAGTTTGCCAACCTTGTCGCTAACTGCAAGCCGTGGGATTACAAATGCACCCAGACGTTCAGACGACGATCATGTCCCTATCGTTGCCCAAAAACTGTGACCCTGTGTGGACGATGCGTAAATTACGATGTACCTGGAAACATCCACTATGGCTACGTCGGCCGCGCTGCCAGCATTCGACGCTGGGTGCTGCTGTTTGCCGCCAACACCGTTCAAAAGGGTGGCATCGACGACGCCAGGGATCAGGTTGCCATCAGAATTGGAATGGACCGGTATGACGTCCCGAGTAAGAGAGCAAACTTTTGCCGGGATGTACTGAGTAGAATTGGTTCCTTGAATCGCGATGGAACCTCGGGCTGCCAAAGATGCACAACGAAATACTAACTAGCCGGAGCCACAGGTTCACCACAAAAAAGCCACATGAGATGTAACACGAATGATGAGGACAGTTTCACGTCAAAGTGTACGACGACTTTACTAACGGCAAAAACTAAGACTACTGTGTAATTTCCGGAAAATATTTTTAAAGTAACCTTGTAATTCATTCTATTTTGTTAAGTCGCTCTATAACTGAACATGGTATACAAATTCAATGTTTCAAGCAATACCGATTACGAAGACAGGCAAAGGCGCATTAAAATGTAAGTTGATTTTAAAATTGTCCTAATGTCATTAAAATAACTACAACTTTTCCTAGCGTTTGTGCCGTACAATTGGCCTTCCTAAAGAAAGAAGATAAAGATAATCGTACCATTGTTGAAGTAGAAAGTATATAGGGACAAAGGGGTATAGTTCTTGAAAAATTCAGCCATGGAGAAATCGTTTTTCTCCACGATCCAGTTGAGAAATGAGATGCGATGTAGAGATATCTCATTCCTCTCACTGCGCCTCACAAAGCTTTATACGAAAATCATTAACGACCAGTGATTAGAACAATGATTTTATTGGCGGTAGTTATAATCATGATGATGACAATATCAACAACTCACCACAGTAAGAGTTGATCCTGCGTTGTGCCCAAGAGAAGGCAGTGACTACCTTCAACGGCTTGGATTGATGAAAGTTCACTTTCAGTGATTATTGGAGTAAAATACTGCCTTTGTTTAATTACCCTAAGTAGAACAAGGAAGAAAAATGTCAAAAAATCTCTTGAAGCCAAAGAATTTCGAGCAAAGTGATCGCGATAATTTTGAACTTTTTGTCGTGAATTCAGAGCTCTACCAAATCATTTATTGTCAACTATTTTAAAACTTGACACCTAGCCATGATTGAAGAAAACAGCATATCTTCACAAAGACGATGAAACCGCATCTTCCTACCGAAAAACCGAGCTATTCACTACTAGCTAGCCATCCTAACAATAGTTTAACTGTTCGATATAGAGGAACCTGCCACGCTCAAACTGGCGTCAATCTTAGTCACTGTGACGCAGTAATGTAGACGGCTCTCACTCACGACGGAAAGTTCTAGTTCTAGTTGTAAATACGTCTCAAACACCCCATCACTAAGCTTAAATGTTCCACGGGTTGTAAACGGGGAGGATGAGTCCATCAAAGGGATGCAAAGTGGCGAAGTCTACCAAATCAACATCTCCCCGTCGTGGAGTCATAGACATATAAACGCATGGTGCGCGTGCTCTTGTGGGCGCACTCTGTCACTAAAAGTTCCTTTAAACAGACTAATCTCGTTGTCAGAGTCACGGACTGTTTGAACCGCGCAGAAACTTTCTTCCAATTTTCAAAATTAGAGACAAGTTTCTGCGCGTTCCGAAAGAAAAAAAAAAGAGTGTTATAAATTTTGTGTAACCAGCAAGTCAAATGAAGGCTACTTAGGGCTTATGGGAGGGGGAGACCACAGGCAGACCACAACAGTTTGTTAGGCTACTGTACACTCGAGCTCTACATTTTTATCATTTTAAGTTCTTTCAGTCTTTCAATAGATTTATCACAGTCGTGAAAATTCTTATAGTTTAAATACTCACAAGCAGAAACTGTCCAGCGTCCACTTTGTCAAGGCTACTTCAGAGGATTCCCTGTTTGCGATAACAAACTCAATGTCCTCGGTATTCTCCTTTTCCCATGAATCAGACAGTAAGCACATGGTTGAAAACTTGTGCTTGTTACTCCTAAAGTAAGAAAGTGCTACTGCTTTAAATTCTTACTTTAAAAATAAGCATATCTTCCTCTCAAAATTTAATTCAGTAGTAATTACTGTTAGCAGTTGGGGTGAAATTTCAAACGCATTTCGGTATTGAGAGCTGTTAAAAAGGAAATTTAAGCCTCACCTCACAGAATTATTACTTGTTGCTTACAATTGTAATTTTTAACAGATGAAAATAAACTTAGATCCATGAAATGCAGAGTGACACCTTTGGGAGACTACGTTCTAAATTTCTGAGGATCAACATTCCCATCAGTTTTTGGAGAGAGGTCAAAACACTCCCCTTTTTGAAAATCTGCCTGCTTTCTTTGCTTGCAGTGTTTTCCTCTACTTTCATACACATATCTCCTACAAGCCCATACAAATTAAAATTACTTACAAAGTGTCATCATGTTTCAAATCCAAAGAATAGTCCCCATCATCTGAGTAACCGAGAATTCTGCAACGGACCAAAGTCAGAATATATATAACAACTTTATTTAAATAATAACATACAACATATTATTATTAAAAAAGGGTTATGGAAGGGAGGAACTTAATCCTCATTGTAAACTATACCCCAGATATAAAAATTTAATACTATGCAATATACATATACATACTGAAACATTTTACATACAGGCATATATCTATATAAATATAAAATCTAAATAAAGAAGACATATCAAATAAATAAAGACATATAAAATTATAATTAAATAATGTTTAATACATAGAATTGTTCCATGTGTCAATATGTCTGTGCCAAAAAGAGTACAGTAGTAAACAGTAAAATATTCTCTGACAAGTGCTTCTTTTCTCTATAAACAATAAAACATCCTAATTTCCATGTGCACTGCATCAGGATCTATGGTGGACTACATTGTGATGTCATAATTTGACCCATAAATAGGCACATGTAGGTACAGCTAAAGTTTAAGAGTCTCATCCCCTGTTGTAGCTATAACAGGGCCCATTCTTGAAGGATAATGACCTTTTGCCAAAGGTATCCCAAACGGTTTATGCAGGAATATGGAGCCCCCATATTCCTAACGTAAGCTGAAGCACATGCTCTTTCACACAGCCCAGTTTTAAATTGTCATCATTAGCTCATTAAAAGCTTCTTTCCAATGACTCCTTTCCTTACCTCCCATTTCCACCACAGAAATTCCCTCCAACCAAAAGGACAACATGAGAATTCCTTGGCACAACTTGAACACTCGCAAACTCCTCCCCTCCATTCTGCAAGATTATTTCAAGTGTCAATCACAAGTCCAACAAGTGTATTATTTTAACTTTATTCAAAAGTTAACATTTCTTTTTCTACTATTAGATTTGTAGCATCACATCAAAAACCACTATTTTTGAAACAAAAGTGGGGCAAGGCTCACACACAATTTAACACTATGTGGAAATTGAAACTGATATAGCAAATTCACACCATAAAACCACATGGTAAATATGTCTATCACACACATTTTTGTACTTTTAATGAGCTGAAAGTGCATTTGTGCACAAAAAATATTGAACCTCCTGACTCTCTCTGCCATCACACCTGATGGGCCAAACAAAATATTATAACAAAATTTAGTGATGATCTCTTACTGAAGGAAGACTCCATTTGTAAAGTACAGTCCATTGCAATTCAGGTACAACTGTCCAGATGACGATTAAATGAGCCAAACAAACTGCCAGAACATCTCTCTTCATCTTTGGTACTGTTACATCTTTCCCACTTGCTGGCTCATATGATGACAGAGAAACAGACCTGACAACATTGCATTCACCCTCCATATGATGCTATGCAAAAACAGATATGACATAACTTAGTGCTAATAATAATTAAAATATGATAGTAACCACACTGTTTTTATAGTTTATTTCACTTCTAATAATAACAAAATAAGGCTATCCTAGCAATTTTATAAGGATGTGGTAGATGCAGTGGTCTTACAGTCAGTTCTCTGGACTCAGGGTGAAGAGGTTCAGGTGTGACACCTGCCAGGTCATTGCACTCTGTTCCTAGGCAAAACACTTTACTTTCATTGTGCCTATCTCTCCACCAAGGAGTATAAATTGGTACCAGCAAAAAGGCAGGGAAGCCTACTAAAATGCTAGGGGATAACCTTGCTATGGATTGGCATCCTATCTAGGGGGGAGTGGTCATACTCCTAGTTGCTTATGCTACAGAAACTCAAAAACAACTCCTGATGGATGGGTCACAAGGCTTGAGTGCAGACTTTTCCTTTGCTTCATAAGGAAAGCAAAGATCAACCATTACATTAGAATAGTCTCTCAACCTGCTAAGTTTCAAAGTCACCATAAGTCATCAGTAACCCTACAAAAGGTGATGAGAATGGACAAATTTATCAGGTAGAAGATGTTGTCAAGTTCTCCTTACTAACTAACTAGGAAGAGTATAGAAGCTATTAAAGAGAATTAATGACCAGACTATGGAAGTTAAGGAATTAGAAGCAATATGTACCTGTAAGCAGGCCATCATCAGCATGGGAGTCAGTTCTGATTGATCCTCTGGTGATCTTAAACAGGATGACTGTGAGCTCTCTAAAGGCTCAGTCATTTTTCCATGAGGAGTAGCTTGTTCACCAACGCTAGGTTCAGGACGCGATGGACTTAATATTTGTTCTTCTAAATGAAGTAAACTTGGTTGACTTCTGTAAATGACTGAATCAGCTTCACATGAAACTTTTCTAGCTTTAGTTTCCTTCACACCATCTTTTTCAGGAGAATTGGAAGTAAATTTAGGCTGCCTATCACTGGAAATTTCTTTACATAATTTTGGTCCCTCATGACCACACTGATGTGGAAAATTTTTATCCAATGCTCCATCATCAAGGTCTGAGGTATCCATAATCTCTTTGTTGTTTTCATCACCGCTGTCACTTACAACATCAATTTTATCATCAACACTATCCTTAAGAGGAATATAACAGGTTGAGTGTGTAATACTGCTTGTTTCTTCCCCAATGTTTACTTCACTGACTGACTTTTCATCTACCTGATAAGGTAAACAAGGCTTTACACCTATTATAGGATTTTCTTGCAATGTTTCCCTTGGAGAGAAGTCTACTTCACTATTATTCATTTGCTCATGTTTCAACTGAAGATCATATTGGTGTTTTGGACTTGATGAGAACTGATTTACACAATGCTCTGAATTTTTTTGACTCTCTAAGTTTCCAGATGTGGAAATGAATTGTGGCGCTTGATTGATACTCTTTCTGTCTGAGGTGTCTGTAATAGAGACACTTTCCAATTCATCAGGTTTACTTGTGCTATCAAATTGCATTGAAGATACTATTGATGAATTAATAAAATTGTGATAACAGTCCTCTTTGATTTCACCACCACTCAACTCCTGTAAAGCCTTCTTTCTCTTTGGCATAGTGTCATGTTCTTTCACCTTTACTGTACTTTTGTTATTTAGTTCTCTACTGATCCTCTCAGCTGGCAAAGCAGCTTTGATTTTTGCAAGTTTCAACTTTGCAAACTCTTTATCAGGCAAAGAAAAGTCTACAATGATACCCAGAGGACCACCAGGTTTTGCCTCATCTGAGGAGGGTCTTGGGAACACAAAACCCTTGGACAAACTTTGTTCATGTGAATTGTCTTTCAAAGTTACTGATGATTGTTCTGCACTGCATTTCATGGTTTTACTTTTGCTTTGTGAATTGATTCCTTTTTTCGGTCTAGATTGTTTTGATCTGTATGATTTTGTTTTCTTTGATTGTGTAGAATAACAATCCTTGGAAACAAGTGATTGCTTTCCAAAGCTGGGTGTGGACTGTAGTCTTGGAGATCTCCTTGGAAACTCTTCTTCAAATAGATGCATCCAATGCCTGCTTTCTAAAGATAAACTTCCATTTTCATGAACAGAGGGGCAGCTAATACCATTTTTCTTTTCAGGTGCCTCAGCTGCTTTTTCAGAAGCTTCACCTTTTGCCAAACATTCCTGTATGCCTTCATTGTTAAGGGCATCTGGATTAAAAACTGATACAGTTCCTATACTTAGAGGTTCAACTACTTCAGAGGTTGCAGTCATTTCTTTTCCACAATTATCAAAATAAATTTCATTTGCTGATTCACTGTTTTCATTGTTCCTTGAAGGAATTTGTACATCCTCATTTCCACAAGAACAAGCAGCATTTCTTAAAGTTTGGCCTTGGTCAACCTCACTCTTGGAAAAATCCTTGTGCTCTGATATAACTGTACTGTTTTCAGGAAGCACTGCATTGTCACATAATGTAATATCATCACTGCATGATTTGACCCACACATTGTCTGTTTCAAAACCATGAATATTGTTGCTCCCAATACAAATCTGTGCTATTTTACTGGCATTCTCATTTTGTTTGCACGATTCCACAAGGGCAGATCTTTGTTTGGACGTTCCACTGAAAGCCACATCTATCCCATTTTTATTTTCTGATTTCCTCTCACAAAGTGGTTGCTGATGAGTCTCTACAACATCCTCAAATGTCACAGTTTTACAGACTCCTTTCTTGTGAGCTGAAAGGGAACTTGAATTTGCGTCTCCGGGAGAAAATGATTCACGAGAAAGTGAAATACTGGATCTGTTTTGAGCATCACCGTATGTGGTCTCCTCTTGGACTGTGAAACCACCAAAGGTTTGCCGCCTTTGCTTTGTAATCTCAGCTCTCTATAAAAGAAGTAATAAATACTGGTCAGAGTGAAAAGACCGTCTCCTTTTAAAGTGAATTGCTTTGTATAAATTCAACACCGGTGCAGAATCATTAGGAAAAAATTCCTGTAAATTACCTTAAGTTTTCTCAAGGCTTTCGCATGTTTTCTTTCAAGTTCTAACAGCCGCTGCCTCATAATCTATACACATGAAAAAGATGCAAATGACTCTATTTAATATATATGGGTGGTTAGCAAATATGTGATCGGAGATCGCACCTTTATTTCAAATCTCACAGCTCATCATGGAGAATTTAAATTCGAGCTCTCCTTCTCCTCACATAATAGACGAAAACACGTACAAAACTCTCGTTATCACGTACATTTGAACGAATTAAAAATAAAAAAATCCCTTTCCTTTTCATTCGTCCTGTTATTTATGAAAACAAAGGGCAAGTAACCTAAACAAAACTCACCTGTTTTTGTTCATCTTGGCTGCAGTGGGCCGCCATATTGTTTGTGTTCAGTCGACTCGAAATTCGCGCGAAAAGTGTAAGAGGTTTCCCGGATGCATCAGATACCCCCGACTCCCATATGTTAGGTCTGCAACACGTAAAAGCGATTAGAAACGAAGAAAATCAGAAAGCAAGAGCATCATAGTAAGGGAAGGAGTCCTAGAGAATAGGGAGTGGAAAGGGTACATGAACCATGAAAGGGGAGGACTAATGTAAGGGTGGGAAGCTGGAAAGACACACTGCAATACAAACCTTTGTCGATCATTGATTTGCAGTGTTTTATAACGTGGAAAGAGAGATATGAGTCAAACGTGTGCGAGAGATGGGAGGGCTGGGAAGGGAGAGTATTACCTTCTTTTCCCCATTCTCCCCCCTCCATCCTCAAAAAGAAAACGATTCTTCCCTGTGCCCCCTTAAAAATAAGCTTCCATACTCAAATGGAACACCTCGTTTATTGCTCCTAATTAAACCAAAATTAATAATGGTTCAACAGCTGTAACTGACAAATTGATGAAAAATGAAACTATTTGAAACACTCTTTCTCTAAGTTGAACTTTACAAAAAATGTTACTTTCCACTGCAACAAGCTCTCAACAGCGCATTCAATTTTTCACTCAATAATTGAAACCCTTTCTTTCTCTCTAGCTAATCGTATGATTTACGCTGTTAAAGGCGCCTGTTTTGTGATCAGATATGTTCGGTTTTGCTTCGTAGGTACAAATTGTCACGCCGTGGCGATGGGCCTCTTGAAAGTCCCCCTTCAATCCTATAAAATACACTTTACTAGTTTCAGCTCCAAAGTTACGCGGAAAGTAAATTGAAAGATGCTCCACATTAGAAAAACGTGCGACTTTAGGCGTGTATTCTAAACTTCCATCGTGGTCCTCACTCATTTCAAACGTCTGATCAGGCTCCGCATTTGTATCATCAAAAGTCATGGAAGGGCGATTCTTGTACAGTTTCATTTCAGAGGGATGCTCACCATTTTCTCCGCCAATCACGACAACACCTTTTAATTTGACCTGTCCAACGAAAGGAATGTTAAATAACAGTTCTTCGTCGACATCACTTTCGACAAATTTTTTCGTATCCAAGCGTTCATCCCAGGGTTTGAAAACGTTTTTGGCCGATTCTTCCTCAGCTTCGTTCAAGCATTGAAGCTTTAAGAGGTCGATCTTTAGAAAAAGATGAAACTGAGCCCCTCTTTCTTCTTCAGAAACGTCATGTTCGTGGTCATGGTGCTGGTGTCCACAACCCGCCATCTTGAAATACGCGGCAGACTGGTAACAAGGTTTTTTAGGAAGGTTTTACAAAATGGTGAATGACACGGTGATAGTCATATCAGCTTTGACCGCTGGTCTTGCCTTTGTATATTATCGTTTGCGTTGTTATTTTGCTGGAGGAGTATGCACGAATACTGTCTCGATGAAAGGGAAGACTGTGATCATCACTGGGGCGAATACAGGACTCGGTAAAGAAACTGCCCTTGAGCTCGCTCGACGTGAAGCAAGGGTTATCCTCGCTTGCAGGAGTCTTGAAAAAGGACAAAAAGCTGCCGACGAAATCCGTGCAAAGGTCAGAGATGCAACAGTTGTCGTGAAGAGTCTTGATCTGTCGTCTCTGGAGTCAGTCCGTACATTTGCAAGCGAAATTTTAAAGGAGGAAGTGAGGCTGGATGTCCTGATAAACAACGCTGGAGTCTACATGGACCCTCCTGTGCCTAAAACCCAAGATGGTTTTGAGATGCATTTTGGTGTAAACCACCTTGGGCATTTTTTGTTGACAAATTTGTTATTAGATCTGCTCGAGAAATCATCTCCAAGCAGGATTGTCGTTGTGTCATCAAGCTTGGCTAAAAGGGCTTCTATAGATTTTGACAATATTCATGGAGAGAAAGGTCACGAAAAACCTGGAAGAGGATACCGCATGAAAGGTCCCTATGCTCAAAGTAAACTGGCAAACATGCTTTTTGCTCACGAGTTAAACAAAAGGCTTCCTGATGGTAAGGTGTGATCATTTGTTTGTGCCTTCCAACCCTTTTATTACTAGGAGTAACCAAAAAGAACTTTCTATTTGGATTATTACGACATTTTCAAGCAGAAAGGATGATAAGAAAGTAGAAAAAAAAAATCAGTTACGTAAACAATACCCTCCATTTGGGCCTAAAATATGCTTGGATATTTCTCCACAGACATTATTTTTTCTGAGGAGTAAACAGTTTTCAGAAGCAGAGCTTAAGGAAAACTGAGATTTCCAAAGAACAGGTAATGTTCAAGGACAAATAAACATGCATATCTTTGTCTCAAATGGAAGTTAATGTAGGAGTGTTTAGACCAATTGTGTATGACCAAAATTATCTGATGGATTATAAGAGATATTATTTTAAAGACAAGCACATAAAATAGACCCATACTTCTGTGTTTCCTGTCTTCAAAATGATTCCCATCTTCAATTTCCAGGTGTGACTGTCAATTCACTGTGTCCTGGGTTATGTTGGACAGAACTTCATCGCAACTCAAAACTAAGTTTGCTGAAAAAATTGTTCCTGTACCCAATTGCAACAGTAGTGACGAAGAGACCGTGGGAAGGAGCTCAGACAATTGTTTACTGTGCAACTGAGGAAAAGTTAAAACAAGTTTCTGGAGCAATCTTTGCTGACTGTGATGTGAAAGAATTCCCTCCTAATACCAGGGATGATGGAGTGGCAAGGAAACTTTGGGAACTGAGTGAAAATTTGACTCAGAAGGGAGAATAATAATGTTATTTCACTGGTTTGCATTGACTAGAAAACAGTAACCTTCTTAAACATTAGTTTCTATAAAAGCCAGTCAATGGCAGCCTACTGCCACCTGTAAGACCTCTTAGCACTGTTTGTTTAGCCTGCCAGCAGGCTCTGTGTTTAGGGTTTGCCTTACTGTAAAGCCACCCTTACATCATCAACAGCCGCTCATGGGAAAAGTTATTGAGACCCCATCTAAAGGCCAGTGTAACTGAAGCTAAAACTGAACGTTTGACATTTTAAGATGTGAAGTGGTTGGTATGTTAATGTAAGAAAATAAATAACAACAGATTTGAGCAGTTTGAGTGTGATAATTTTGACCATGGTTAATATCTTTGGAAAATGATAATAGGAGTACCGAAGTACCCAAATAAAACAATTCCAAGTGCTTTTGCAAAGAATATTTTAATAATTTTTTCAATTCAATGTAAAAATGGCTTAATTACCTATGGTTAATATCTGTAACTGTTACTCATTGTTATAGACAACTCAATACACAACAGTGTAAATCCTTGCTGGTAACTCCCTGATTTTCTGAATTAAGAAGAGTTTGTCCACTGAACTTTAGAACAAAATTAATATCCTCAAAATAAGAAAGAAAAAATTCCATAAAATTCTACATATAGCTGGATAGTACCAAATAATGGTAAGACAGTGTTGCTAAGTGGTTAGTGTTCTGAACCCACCTTAAGGTTAAATTTTAATCTTGGTTTCTCTATTCCTTTGTTCGAAAGCCATTTTGGGATAATTGTTTCTATTATTTGAAGAGCATCCAATCATCAAATTGTAGACCAAAAGAATTATACTAAACTTTCTTTTAAACTTTTCAGATCTGAAATCAGACTTCAAACTAGCCCTGGGTTATGTAAACCTAGCTTTGCCAACCCAGCCAGAATCTAGTGTTTCTGGGTTCAAGCCCTCTACACTGCTACTTCCTTGATTTGTTCCCATTGTCCTTACATTCAACTCCTTAGCTGTGCTTTAAATACAGCCAAATGATCTGCCTCCTGTCAGTTGGGGTTTTTAAACACTAAGTTGATCTACGTTTACTACTTTTACTGCCACTTTGTTTGCATTTTAGGGCCTAAATGAAAATTAATGAGTGTAAATCTGGGCTTGCCTAGTAAAATAGAGTGTTTGATTAATATACTATAATAACTACTATTATTATAAAATAGTGAACCTAAAATTAGTTCCTAAAAGTACCTTTAAAACTCTACAACTATACAAGTCTAATTAAAATGTGTATTTTTCAAAGAGAATGTCTTCCATCCTGTTTTGTTTAGTATCAGTTCCAGGAAGTTTTGATTTAAACTCATCTTATTTGCTCTTCATATCACCAATCTTATCAAAATGGCTGGCGAATCTGTGTCACTAGCTTTTAAAGATTGTCTTTTTAAACATCTTGTGTAGGATCATTCTGATTAACCCTTAAACTTCCAAGATCTGATTTTTAATTCTCCCCTCTAGCCACTACATATTTCCTTGTAAATTAATTACGAGAATTTGATGTTAGATCAAGGTAACAATTTCTACCTGCCAAGTATTTTTGAGTATTCTCATAACCTATTTGCAGGATAATGTATGGATATTAAAGGGAGAAGTAAGATGTTAATCACTTCTGAGAGTTAAAGGGTTAAAAATCACTAACTAAACAGAAGTCTTCAATTACCTATAGCTACAATTAGCTCGTTTGACAACAAATGAGAGCAATTTCCATCAGCTTCAAGCTCATTATTGTAAGTCACTAGTGGTATTTGTGATAATGACAAGAACAACAATATTAAAATTTAAATAAAATTCAATAATTCTTACACTTTAGATTTTGCCAGTGATACTATTAAGTTTTTCTACTGAGGGTTTATGGTCACTCCCACTAACTAAAGGGAAAAGTACTAAAATTTTTCAGACCTTAATTTTTATTCCTATCTAACCTCAAAAACCATTATCATCAACCATCAGCCACTTAAAAGATTCCATCAGGAGAAATTTTCCATTCAAGTAATAGTTCAAGTAGTGTTCAATTAGCCAAATCAAGCACAAATATAGTAAATGGTGTGATAGTAACAGAGGAGTGAAAAAAAAATGCTGGAGGGGGTGCATGACCCAACCCAAACCTCTGTTATGTTCACTCTGCTGCAACAATCCTGCTGTTTATAATTTAGCTCTGTCTTGCCAACTGAATGCCTGTTACAAGCTACCCAAGATTCTCAATGCTCTAGTTATAGGGGCTGACTCACCCACAGGTGTCTCTCTATTTCTAAATATTAAAGAAGGGAGTTCACAAAAATTGCACATCAGGGATGGTGGGTGAACTCATCTCTGATAAAATAAACATGGATCTCAAAAGCAAAAAAATCAAACTTAAACAGTTGCTGCCATCTTTGAATCACACATTAAGGTAACAAGAATAAAGGAAATGATCACCAACTATGGAGCCTCTTGATTGTTAAACTAATTCTCCTTGTCAGCACCTTAGGAACTGTATAGAGAACAGTATGGAGAATATGCATACTGATGTTAGGGTGTAAAGGGTTGAGAGACTACTGGGATGAGTCAGTCATGAAAACATGCTATCCCAGACAGTCTCAGCAATCTCTAGTGGTTCAACAATTTGCAGTCTAAGGTGGATTACAAAAAGTTATATTATATCAGGTCATTTAAAGTTTAAATATTCATTACTATCAGTTTAAGAATAGCTAGAAAGCTTCATCTGGGGACTACAATTTAATCTGGGGAAAAGCTGACATTTTCTGGCCAGCAAAACCTCCCAGAACATCAACAGTACTTCCTCTAATTATTATGACCTTGGCATAGCCAACTGCATTCTGACTAGCCAACTACATTCTGACTATCACTACCTAAGGAGAAGCACTTCTCCATCATTAAGCAGGTTCACACAATTCACTGCACTGCAATTGGTGCTTGCAAAGTTCTCAGAAGGGATCTGCCTGAATACCAGGAATGTTGACAAACAATTTGGAACCTAAAGTGAAGAAAAGATAAACAAATTTTCTCTCAGTTTGTTGTTTAGTGTGAGATAGACATCACATTTTAACTTAACTCTCTAACTCCCACGATCTCATTAGTAATTCTCCTTACTGTCTGCCATACAGTTCTTATGATTTTAGTTTGCAGAATTTGGTACTGGATCAACTTATAATCCCATAATTGATAATTTTCTTTATTCTCATCACTTGTCTGCTTGATATTGTATTGATATTGTAGGAAGATATTCTGTCTTGGTCACTAATGGGAGTTTGAAGGTTAGAGTTTTAACAAACCTAATAAATGCTCGGGAACAGAACAGGGACCAGTGATTTTTATGACTCTGCAGTTGTACACCCAGGGAGGTGGTTCCCATTCATTCCACTATAAGATAAACACAGTTAACATCACGTCAGAATCTATTTGCGTTCATATAAAAAGCTGAATTTTATAGTTGCACATAAAGGGGGTAACTTTCTAAAGAAACTGTGGTGCTGCATTGGTGGGAGAGTATAACAACTGAAGGTAATTTGGTATTATCAGCTAAGGTGATAATGTAAATTGGCCACCTTTAAGAGTTTCAAAGCTCATATTTTGAGTGTTAGCCCTTTGTCATTCACTCTGACAAAGAGCTAACATTTAAAACATCAGCTTTTAAACTCTTAACAGTGGGCAATTTATGTTATCAACTCAGTTTACAATACCAAATTGATATTAACATTTATTATGCACTTTGATTGGGTCTAATTCTTGTGATATATTGGCAGGCAGATGCACAGATGACATAGAATTAACAAACTTTAGTTCCTTTTTAATACCATGTTAGCCTGCATATGTTCAGTATAAGATCACTGAAGACCCTTTTTGTTACCACATTTTGATCCCATCTGTGATCTATTACTGAATAGACTCATAAAAATGTAGCCCAGTATCTGCTGCAGATATTGGGTTATCATGTCAACAACTTCACATACTATTTAACAATTGGTTGGTCCGTTTTTCACGTCGGATTTGATGCACAATTCCACTGGCTATGTTATAAAACAATTGGTTCATGCTTTCAGCATGTACTATCGAGTTCTGGAGCACGTGGGAAGTTTGGAGAGCACAAAAGAAGCATAAGAGTTGCCCAAGGCAATAGCCAAGGACAAATCTAGCTTCTTGAGTGCTCTCCAAACTTCCCATGTGCTCCATAACTCAATAGTGCACAGCTAAAAGCATGAACCAATTGTTTTAATAACATAGCCAGTGGAATTGTGCATCAAATCTGATGCAAAAAACGGACAACAATATCAGAAGTGATTGTTCATGGAGTCTCCTTTCCAATTGTTTCTCTCATTTTCTGCCTCATTTAGGAACTCTAGCCCAAGGGAAAAGGTCAGAAAATTGTCTTCGTTTTGGGACTGGTGGGCCGAGTCTCTGTTTGTATCAATTATTGTCGTGAAATATATTATTTTACCTGCGCTAATAATGGCCTCTCTGAAAAAAAAAAATTTCTGGTGAAGTGATTTGCTCACGCTATCAGCGTGCACTATTGGGATTTTGAGCACGCTTACGTATACTGAATTTGATTGTGCAGCTCTGCTGGCTATGTTATAAAATTGTATATTAACAGTATGCTCTTAGCCAATCAAAGTAACTCATATCATAGTCATAGTAACTCTAATGTATAATAACAGTCATTGTCTGTGCAATGTTGTGCACTTATTTTTTTTTAAGTACTCACAGATTGACTGGGTGGTGATCGCAAAGTGATTGGCAACTGAGCAGAGATTGGAACTGCCCATCTGATGGCTATCTCAACATCAACATGGTATGTACTCTTGGAGGATGAAAAAAAAGCAAAATGAGCACCTGTTTACTGTTACAGTAACCACTAAATTATATGTCAGTTGCTTGACTGACCTGGCAGTAGACTGATTTAACCCTTAAACTCCCAAGATCTGATTGTTAATTCTCCCCTTTGGCTGCTACACATTTGCTTGTGAATAAGCTACAAGAATTTGGTGTTAGATCAAGTTAACATTTTCTACCTGATAAGTTTGAGTGTTCTCGTCACCTTATTATTGGATATCGCATGGATATTATAGGGAGAAGTTACAAGTTAATCACTTCTGGGAGTGAAAGGGTCAACATCTTTGTGCAACAAACAAACAAACAAACACATGAAAGGAAAAACAAACAATTATCAAACAACTTAACTATGTGATTATCAGGTAAAGGTAAAGAATCTGATCCCACCGATGCATTAGCCAATGGGTTGGTAGTGTGTCGGTGGTGTGTCAGCCAACATGTTGGTCAATGCGTCGGCCGACGCATTGGCCGATGCGTTGGCAGATGCGTCGGTAGGATCAGATTCTTTACCTTTACCGAAAATTGCACCTTGATGGTTAAGCTGGATTACCTTTATAATTTGACCACTAGTAGATGGTTGAAATTCTTCCCGTGAAGACTCTTTCCAAAGTTCAAGGGGTACTTCCCTGGAGAAGAAAAAGAAATTATAGTATGTCACATAATGAAAATCAAATGAGGCTAAAAGAACTTAAAGAAGGGTTAAAAGTAAGTCACTGCAGTAGGCTCCACTTGGTTTGCTATGCTACCAAAGTGTGTTTAGTTTCCCCTCCCTTCCTGCCCCCTTCCCCCTCCTCCCCCCCACTTTTGAGCAAGTGTCCATGCCATTCACTGGTTTGTTGCTGCTGTGTGGACAGGTGCCTGGACACAGGTTGTAACTCAGTCTCCATGGTGACCTCCTTCTTGTCCTTGGTGAGGGGATTTCTGGCCTTCTTAGTTAATGGCACCAACCTTCTATCACAATTGACAAAGAGTTATAAATTATTTTGAAGCACTTTCTCTGATTAATTTGTCTTAACATTTCCAGGATTATAAGTCCTACATGTTTCTCAGCTGTTTTCCCTGACAACCATCCAGTGACTTCTCCTTCATGCTTTCTACAACACATGGACTCCTTGTCATGACAGTTGCTCTGCTATCTTGGCTGCTTACAGATGACGAAAGATCTTTCTCCTGAGGTTTTAGGTTTACCACTCTAAAAAGCTAACATGAAAGCAAATAGTACAAGATATAAATGAAAACAAATTTAAAAACATACTATAGAAAACTAAAACATAGATTAAATCCTTTCACACCCAAGATCTTATTAGTATCTCATTAGTGATTCTTCTTACTGTCTGCTATACAACTCTCAAGAAGTGAGTTTGGAGAATTTGGCATTGGATCAACTAACAATCCCCTAATTGATACTTTTCTTTATTCTCATCACTTTTCTGTTTGATATGGCATTGATATTGTAAGGTGAAATTCATGTGAGTGAAAGGGTTACCGGTAACCCGGTAAATATCAACACGATCTCAAGTGAACAAGTGATAAGAATATAGAAAAATACAAATTAATAGATTATCATTTGATTGAATACCAAATTCTCCAAACTAAAACTATAAGCAGTGTTTGGCAGATAGTAGGGAGAATTACTTAAGAGATCATGTGAGTGAAAGGGCTAAGTCAAGGTTATCACATGCCAGAATTACCCAATAAAAAAACCTTAATAGGACAAGAGGAAAACTTTCGGCAGAACAGAAGTTACCTTAACAATAAATGAATCGATGTCAACATTGGAATTGTTCTTAACATCAATATGAAGGGAAGCTGTTTCTCCTGATGTGTACACCTTCTTGTCCAACCTTTGATCAAAGAAAACCAGATCAGAAACAACTCCATCTACAAGTTAATTTTGTAGCATACACTTAGATAAAATAGCATTTCAGAGCCTCTACATTTCAAAAATAATTTTTCTGTGCAGGAAAATGCTCTCAAGACCCTGGGAAGCACCTCTTGAATTGTTAGCCATTTTCTCCAAGCAGCTGGCCAAGTACCCCCTGCATTATTGAGAACCCTGAACAAGTTATGGTGTTGGCTTACGTTTACAGATGTATGCATGCTTGCTGGCATCATGTGTATATCCCACCTGAATGAACACAAAATATGTTACCCCCTTAGTAAACATACCAAGCATTAAGCAAAACATCCCCTTTTGGAATACAGCAACAAATTTTCACAGTTCTGCGATCTGTGAAAACTTCAGGCTCGACTGATGTCAGGGGAAGATTTTCATTAACTGTGATGACCTGTGAAGCCTGAAAAAAATGGATAGAATGTTAAAGAAATGATCATGGCTCATAACTGCATTAAAAAAATCCTTAAACCCTTCAACTCTTAGAATTGATTAACATATGACTCCTCCCTACAATATTCCTTCATTATCTAGCAAACTGGTACAGAGAATACTCCAACTTAACTCTCTCCAGATAGAAAATGTTATCCTGATCTTACACTACATTCTGGTACCTAATTTACCAGGAAATCTATAGCAGGTAGTGGGGAGAATTAACAATCAGATCTTGGGAGTTAAAGGGTTAAAGAGGACCATTTCTTTTGAAATGGAAATTATAACAAAAAAGGTTCCAGAAGGTAAAAAGATTGATGAATTTAGAACCACTTATTGTATTTGGACTTTGTCAGACCTCAAGAACTTCCCCTGATCCAGGTCTATCAACCTCAGCTATCACTTTATACACAATCTTGGCCTTCCATTTGTCCCCATTAGCTTGATTTCCTTCACCCTCAAATGATCCTGCCGATAAAAAAACCAAATTTAGTAGTTAGTAACCATAAGAAATAGTGACAGTCATTCAAAGTTTGAAATCTATTACCATCACCACTGTTGACAAGTCTTTAGAGTACAACTCTCAAGAATCAATTGTAAGGCTCTTTATCTAATCGCAGTTACTGCACCCTGCTGTTATACTGTTGATGTTTTACTCTAGAAAGTATCCAAATCACACTCCCCTCTAGACCTCTGAGAACAACATCTTACTGAAAATAACAATCATGGGAAAGAGGAGCCTCTAAATCCATATTAATCTTAAATGGCTTAGTCCAAGATCTATGGAATCACTGATCAGAAGGTAACATAGTAAAGCTACGTTCAACTGCTGTTAGGAGTACTTTAAATTTCTCCCTATTCTGAGCAACTATCAACCTTATCACAATCAAAATAATTTGTTCCCTACCTGGTAAGCCTTGTTGCAGTGTGTAATGGAAGGGATAAGCATAGCAGCCCATAGGTATTCCATCTAAAATAGAAAAATTAAAGTTGGTGAACAATTTATTGTGAGGCCTTCAAATGGATGACCATTAAGTCTGTTGGAGAACCTAGACAAGATAAACTGACTGAAGCTAGAGGCATTGAACTTGAGAGGATAGAGACAATTTGAAAATGTTGACCTTACTCCTTTACATCCTTACATAATTAAGATTGCATATACTCTGTACTGACTTCTCTATATATTTTCTAAAGTGCTGACTGGGAGAATTTATCAAACAATCAAAAACTTCTTTCAATAATAACCATTTCCATTATTCTAAGTTATTCACTCTTAGGGTTCAAAGGGCTGACTCCCAAAGGTGATCAAGAAATAAATTCTCTTTCTAATATCAACACAGTTGCAAGCAAACAGGCTGTGAGAAAACACATGTTGATATTGAGTTGTAAAGGGTTAAACATGTGGTCACCTTCCCCATAATTTGGACATCTCTTCAACATGTTTTTGTATCTTAATTTTGTTGAAAATGTGTTTTCTAAGCTACAATGTAAAATGTTACCAGGATATTCAATGAGTCGCAGTTCAGCTCTGAACATATCTCTCCTTGAATTTTTGGTTCCTATCTTCTCAACTGGTAACTGAGTTTCTACGTCTTGCTGTATTTCTCGAAATTCCCATTCACCTGAAAACCAAATTGCTAAATTATGAATATGATCATTGCACAATTACACCATATTCAAAATATACCACAATATTACATGCCAGAACAGGGCAATAATATAGGAGTAAAGAGGAGCAACAAAATGTCAGTACTGAATGACCCAAAGTTAAATTTATATTTGTTTATTTAGGCTTTGCTTGTTAAGTAGCAAAATTTTAGGCACTTAATATATTGGCCATAATGACACTTCAACCCTAACATCATAATGCATATTCTCCATACTGTTCTCTATACATTTCCTAGGTTCTAACAAGGAGAATTTGTAAAACCATCAAGACCTTTGTTAGTTGCCAATCATTTCCTTTATTCTTGGGATTTAAAAATTTGATTTAAGGGATAGATTGTCAAGAGGAATTAAAACCTTTTCACTTTTAGGGACTGAAGGGTTAATGGTTTTGTTTGAGTTGTTTTTCATCTTTTGCACATGATAAGATCCAGAGTTAAAAATTTAAAGAAAGTACAAATTTTATTGTCACAGCTTACATTTTTCATATCCCCTGAATTTCAGTTTCACTCCTCTGCATGGATCAGTGCTACAAATCCATAGATACACAGTCCTGAAAAAAAATCAATTGATAAACATTATTTAACCCTTAAACTCCCAAGATCTGATTGTTAATTCTCCCTTCTAGCAGCTACACATTTCTTTGTACATTAGTTATAAGAATTTGGTGTTTGATCAAGGTAATATCTTGTAACTGATGAGTTTGACTATTCTCATCACCTGTTTGCTGAATAATGTATGGATATTATAGGGAGAAGTTACATGTTAATCACTTCTGGGAGAAATTAATTAGCTATTTAACCCTTACACTATATAATGTCATTTTGGAGAATTTGATGTTAGATCAACCAATAATCCCTCAATTAATATTTTATTTATTCTCATCACTTGTCTTCATGATACTGTATTGATAATCTAAGGAGAAATTATATCCTGGTCACTCCCCGATTAATCACTCTGTAGATCTGAGGAAAATATGAAAATGATCTTAATTGTTCTAATGACCTTTCAGTTTTTTGTTCCCCTTGCTAGATTAAATTCCAGGGTCCTAATGCTTTTTTAGGAATCCACGTTGTTCCAGAAACATTTTTACCTTTGGTGGGAGGGCAGGGATGTACGAGCAGTGTTAATCTCATTTTTTTTTTCTAATGTGAACACAATCCTCATTTGAGCACCAAGAAAAATTTCTGCACAGTTCCACTATGCATACAGTTCTTGGATAGAGGAAAAAATGGCAAAAACTATAGATTGCTTTTGAGAAAAGAGCTTCTTTTTTACGATTATGGTATGTGGCTGTGTAGAAATCTTACCGAGCACCATCCTCTCCGCTTTGAAATTTCAGCCCTCTCTCCCTTCGTTCCACTACCATCTACTTCCTGTAAGTGACGTGTTTGGGCAATTTGCTCCTTATCGACAGAGGTGCCGAATCAAATGCTGAAAGTATGAACTTGCCAAACTTTCGACATTTGCGTGATGAATTTCGGCATGACGCAAACAAATACAGCTTCGAAACGAAAACTAATACACGGCTAAGATTGACCAGTAAATTTAAATCTCAGAAAAGACTGAGATTTAAATTGAGGCACCTTGATATGTTAATTTGGTCTATTATTGACAAATTTAAGGTGCGAAACGAGTTCTACAAGAACAACAAGAAAAGACTGATTCTTACCCGTAAATCTTTTCTCCACCGATATAACTTCCTTTGTTTGTCCTTATCGCTATCCTGTTGATACTCATCTTCTACGACGATCAGTCTTTCATACTTGAGATCTTCATTGTGTTTTAGCCTACAAGACTGATTTGGAAATCCCTTGGGTCAAAAAATGTTTGCATTAAAATATGCTCATCTTAACTCACTTTCTAAAGATGCGTCGTTTGCAGACGTAGTTTAAACCCCTCGAATTTATGAAAAATGTAAATTCACGCCCTAAATTGATTTCCTTCTCGCATAAATTCCAAAACTTTCGAATCGAAGGCTCCTGATCGTTAGTTTAGCGAGCTGAGGCGCCCTTTGATCAAAAGTTGAGGAGGACTAAGCCAGAATAAACACAAACATGGCGGCCCGCACGTGGTTGAGTTGTGGCAGAAAAATGGGGTCCATCTGGACAGGGAATGTCTTTGCTCTCTTAAATCCGCAAAAGTATTCGAGCAGTGTTGTCCAAACGCAGAATTACGTCGAAAGGTTCTTTCTTCTGGGCCATAGGAGTTTGGCAAGTGATTCTAATCTAGACGTGGAAACAGATCGAACTGCAGATCGAAGTGTTACAAACAAGAACGACTTAAAAAGTAACTCAAAGAATAAAGGTTTGCCACAAACAAGGCTACTAAAAGTGGCGATTATAGGAGAGGCAAACAGTGGAAAATCGACGTTAACAAATTGTTTAATTGGGGACAAGATCTCTGCGGTTACAGCAGTCCCTCATACCACACGTAGGCAGACAACTGGAGTGTTCGCACTCGGCGATGCTCAAATAGTACTGCTAGATACACCAGGAATTGTAAACATCCCAACGGCTAGACGGTTGAAAATGACCCGTGAGCACATGCGAGCTCCAAGTGATGCACTGCATGACGCTGATGTAATAGCTGTTTTAATTGATGCTGCTGACAGGAAAAGGAGTATGGTAATTCCCGAAACAATTCTAACCAACTTGGAGAATCACACAGACTTGCCGTCAGTTCTGATCTTAAACAAGATCGATGTTGTCAAAGTAAAGACCAGATTACTTGATATAGCCACAGTCTTAGTGCATGACCGTGAAAAGGATGAATGGGGTTACAAAGACGAGGGTGGGTGGAGTGGGTTTGAGCATGTATTCATGGTCTCGGCCAGAACTGGAGATGGGATCGACGATCTCAAGAAATATTTCGCTGTTAAAGCAAAGCCTGCTGATTGGCTTTTTCCTGCTGATACAGCCACAGACCAGAACTTTGAACAGATAATGCATGAAATTTTTAGAGAGAAAATTTTGCAGTTGTATGAACATGAAATACCATGGCAGATCAGGCAGGTAGGTTGTTAATCAGGACCCTGTGGTCATCTTTGCTTATTAACAAATCATGTGATAGTTTTATAAAGTAGATACCCTGCAATTTACCAGCACTCCAAGGTGCAATCATTTATGTTCCCAGGGGAAGTAAAGGGTATGTAATACTGCAGCCTGGTTAGCTCTGGTTATAGAGTGATGGACTGTCATGCAGGAGGTCGAGGGTTCAAAACCCAGCTTGGACAAACACTCATGGTCAATGCACTCTGGCTAGAGTCCCCTGCAAAGTGTTGTAAAGTGCATTAGAGCATATTTCTATACAGAATGTGCTTTGAAAATTTACCATTATCATTCTCTTTTACAAAAATTGCCAATCTGACAACTTTCATGTGATAATCAAGCATAAAGTTTATGGTCAAAAGTTGTAGTTTGATAAATGTTTACCAAAAATAGTATTTGATCTTGCACAAAATTTCCTTTTCCATTTTTTTAAATGTTTATTCTTTTTCTTTGTTTTTTGTTTTTGGTTTTGCAACTCAATATTTCTGGTGACCATGTCATAATTTAACCCTTAAACTGCCAAGATCTGATTCTAGCTACTACACATTTCCTTTTAATTAGTTATGAGTATTTTCTGTGACATCAAGAGAACAACTTCGACCTGATAAGTTGGAGTGGTCTCATCACTTGTTTGCTGTATTATGTATGGATATTAAAGGGAGAAGTTACATATTTATCACTTCTGGGAGCTAAAGGTTCGAGGTGCTTGATTGGTGAATTAAAGAAAAAAAAACAACTTTAACTTGGAGCCCTGTTCATCCATGATTTACATAACATTTTTGTTTCATATCCCATTGATCTTGTCACTTTCAGGTGAATGTATTGTGCGAAGCCAGAGAGGGCCATTGGAGAATTCATCACAAGCTATACTGCCGCACAAAGAGCCAGCGGAGATGTGTAATGGAAAAATTGGAACAGTTGAGACAATTTGTTTTACCAGATTTGGAAGATGCTTTGGGGCAGCCTGTGGAATTGACAGTAGATGTTTCATACAGTGCAAAAGTTGGCTTTCAGACACCTCTTCACAGTTATTGAATATGATTTATATAAAGCCAGTTTGAATAACATGTAAAATATAATTTCATCCACAGTTCAATACTTGTTTAAAGGTCTGTGAAGATGGCTTATGAATCCTTTCCATTTTGAGAACAGTGTTAACCCCTTTGACTCCAAAGAGTGATTATCATCTAATTTCTCCTTACAATATCACCTCTGAATGACACATTATAGTCATGAGAATAAAGATAATGATCACTTACTAAAGAAGCTCTTGATTGTTAAACAAATTCTCCTTGTCAGCACATAAGGAAGAGTAAAGAGAACAGTATGGAGAATATGCATACTGATGTTAGGGTGTAAAGGGTTAATCAGTATCATGCAAATAAACCAAATCTCTTTTCTTGTACCCTGTAATCTGCAGTATTACTCAATTCAGTCTATAGAGCACCATACCTTAAAACTGAAAAGAAAGGCAATATCTTTTTAAAGGCATGTCACTTGTTGAGTTACTGTCCACTTGACTTTCAAGGGACATTTTACTGAACTATTTTATACCTTAATGCAAGGACTGTCGCTACAAGAAAATCAGACAAAAGCTCTATTGCACTACAGACTACTTTAAATGAAGTGGGACTTAAGTTTTGCAAATCAATGCAATAACAATCAGCAAATCGGGTGGTTGCAAACATTTACATCATCATCTTGTGACGTCATTGCAATAACTTTTGGTAAGGCCTGGGGTCTACCAACGCCCAAGGGCCTGGGACTGATGAAGTGCCTGGGAGAAATCTATCGAAGCATTGAAGTACTGAGGAAACTAGTGTTTTGCACTCTTACTAACTTTTCCTCATAATTGCCCTGAGCCGCGTGCAAATTGCGATAACGTGTAAATTGTTACATCGGCTCGATGTTTCAAGCAGTGATTCAGTCGATATTTGAGCCTGGTGTGAACAGCGGACTTCTGACAGCGATCAACGTCATATTCGTGTGTCTTGTGATTGTGCTTGTATTTCTTTTGATAAGTTTTGGTTTCAATATCCATGTGCTGATGCTGCTCATCCTTAGTACCGGCCTTCTTCTATCTATAAACTGGTAAGGATGAAAAGGAGTTCGTACACTTTATGAAACTTCTTGCACCCACATGAATTATATTCACTACAAACAATGGACTTCAAAGAAAGAGCGCCTTCCCACAGGACTGGTTGAAAATCAACCAGGAAGCGGGGGAAGCGGGAGGGGGCTGCTACTTGAGGATGGCTTTGGTCGGGATATACCACCAGGGTCCTTCAATCCTAACCATATTAGAGTAGAAATCAGTTCATTTTCCTACTTTGTTTCTGACAAAAATTGGGATAAATTCTGGCATATTTATTACAGAAATCTTTGTGTGATAATTTGATTGTACAGGAGTTTTTAGTACCACAAATTTGGACTGGGCACCACCAAGATCTCAACCTGTTCAAGCTGCTGAGTATACCTTGCTGTTATAACTCATAAGCATGAAAACCAAACCTTGTAAAATTTTAGATTCTACAGGGCCATTACTCTCTTAATTTAGTCTGTGAAACAGCATTTTCAGCTCTTTCTCACATGTTAAACATTTTTGGCAGGTTTGTTAGTGAATTGTGGAGAACATCCAAAGAGCAGGAAAAAGAGGAAAAGAAGGATTAAAGAGAACTTTTGAAAACCAAATAGTCCCCTCTTGAAGTGATTCAAGTGTGTTACACCTTTGGGATTTGGTAGAGGTAAGGAAGTGTAAAATGATATTCTGTCTTGGTTTTCTTTGTAAGGAAATTGAGCAAAATTAAAAGAATTGAAAGCAAAGAGATTTCAAAGAAAAAGATACATGTTCAGTGTTTATATCCAATTATAGAGAACACCCTGGAAGGAGCTGAATTTCATCTGATGTGGAAACCTCTTTCAGTGTAAACAGCTTGAAATTGTCCTGTGTTGTTGTCCTGAGACACAAGAAGCTGGCTAAGGATTACTGTGTAGATGAATGACCCATGATTGACACATCTGGCCGGAGATCAAAATGTATTGATTGCATGTGGACTATGTCTTATTAGGATTTAGATTTATTGAATTTGTTGCATGGGGACATAAATAATAAGATATTTATATCAATAAAATTATTAAATAGAATCATATGTATCAAACAGCAACTTGAGTTGATATTAAGTTACTAAATAGGGGAGTATTTTAAAATGAAATGTATGGCCCTTCTAATTCACAGTCACACTTACACTTTTAACTTACATCCCACTCTTTCTGAAGATTATAAGAAAGAGTTGTTAACCTTTATAGGGCTAAAAGCCGGTGTTAAATAGTGTCTGTGCTGTCACCGGGTATTTTCCAGAGGTTTGCTCCACATAGTTGTTAAGTATGAAATACCCTGTTGGTTTGTGTAAAGAGGTCTCCGAAATTTGTAAAACCAGCCCAGTCATATATGCCATTATCTTACACCTGGCTTCATTGAAGGCTCTTTTAGGTTTACCCATAAGCTTTGATCCATGAGGAGATCTTACATCCCATCTCCCTTTTCCCCCTCCAAATTCCCTTCTGGCTCTCAGTGCTTCCAAATACTTTAAAAGTCCCCTAAAATGACATCTTTCAAGACTACTGTCATGTAAAAAAGAATTTTTAGGAAGTAAGCCCTTTTCAGGAGAGTTTATAACTTTTACCTCACTTGGCTCACCTGAACACCTGAGACTGTTTCATTTCCATGGCTTACTTTTTCATCATTCAGCATTGCTACATGATGCAGGCCTTAATCACACATATTTTATTTCAAATATATATATTTTTAATGGTACAGAAATCATTCCCTTCTCCTCTCTCTCTCTCTCTCTTTCTCTGACTTAAAAACAAACAAGCAAACAAACAAACAAACTACTCTTAAAAATCCCTTGTACCCAGAGGAGAAAATGTGGAAGTTTAATAGGAAACATTTCCCAAACACTCTTCTGATTAAACCTTTATTAAACCCAATTACAATCTAAATATTGCTGATACAATTTTGTACGTGAAGCATTTTTAAATGGTACTTCTTTTAAGGATGCTACATTTATCAGTATGGTTACTATGGTTACTGTTAATATTATCTTTAAATTTGTAATATGTTTAAATATCTGCAACAGAAATGCATGGTAAGTAAACTAAAAAATTTTGATACATTGTAAGTTATATACATAATGCTTAACCATTTAACTCCTCGATCTGATTGTTGATTCTCCCTTCTACCTGCTAAGCATTTTCTTGTAAATTAGTCACAAAGATTTGATAATAGATCAAGATAAAAATTTCTACCTGGTACGTTCGAGCATTGTTATAACCTAGTGTTGGCTGAATACAGTATGGATGTTACAGGGAGAAGTTACGTGTTAATCACTGGGAGTTACAGAGTTAAATCTTTCTATTTTTCCTTTCTAAAACAAAAGGTTTGCAGGGAAAGTTGTCAAGGAAACTAAAACGTTTTCAACCCTAATGCATGAAAATGCAGAAAATATCTATTTTTTGCCTAAAAATTTTTGTTCTTTAACCCTTTAACTCCCATGAGTGACCAAGAAAGAATTTCTCCTTACAATATCACCACAGAATCAAGCAGACAAGTGAGGAGAATAAAGAAAAAAACTCAATTAAGGAACTACAAGTTGATCCAATACCAAATTCTCCAAATTGAAATGGTAAGTATTTCATGGCAGGAAAAAGGGAGAATTACTAATGAAATCTTGGGAGTTAAAAGGTTAAGGGAAACACATTTTCCTTCTATTTGTGAGTTGTGTGTGAAACACAAGTGTCCCAGGTCCATAACAGGACCATTTAGGGAACATAAAGCAATATATGGCTGGTTCAGTTATTTAATATGTCATTTTATACATGTGTATGTTCACAATAAATAATTCTGCAGGAACTCGCATGAACTTCACAATCTGTATTGCTGGATTTGTTATGGAGCTTCTGTTTTTCTGTGTATCTATCAAAAAGTGTATGATTTGTGCACCTAAAACTTCCAAAGGCTTGTCACACCCCCCT